AGGACAGCTGTGTTTCCCAAATCCAGGGCACTGATTGAACATTAAAAAATCAACTTATAGACCTGTAGGTAATACACCATAGAGATGATTTCGTCAAACAGATCGGCAACTACAAAAGGTAAAAGACAAGACAAAAGTACTGTGAATGTTACTGAAGACTCTCCAACAAAAGAGCAAAAGCTTTGCCCACTCTCAGAGTTAACTGAGGAAGACATTGAGAAAATGGGGGACAAAGAACTCAGAAAACTCGTTGCAAAGCTGATGGTCTACAATGAGAAGCACAAACAAGAGTTCAAAGAAGAAATAGCAGTACTACATCAAATTAAGGCTGATATATCAGAAATTAAGAACACAGTAGAGCAAATTAAAAATACAGTGGAGAGTCTCAACAACAGAATGAATGAAGCAGAAGAAAGAATATCAGAATTAGAAGATATTTCCTGTCACCATGAAGAAACAAGCAAAAAGCTGGAAGCAGAGCTAGGTCAAGCTAAAACAAGTATCCAAGAATTAAAAGATATGATTAAAAAGTCCAACGTAAGAGTTATGGGAGTTCCAGAGGGTGCAGAAAGAGAAGTTGGAATTACAGGTGTATTCAGTGAAATAATAAAGGAAAACTTCCCTAATCTGATCAAAGAATTGGAAAATATAATACAGGACAGCTACAGAACTCCAAACAGAGTTGACCAAAACCGAACTTCACCACGACACATGATCATCAAGCTCTCTTCAGTTGAACAAAAAGAAAAAAAATGTTTAAAAGTGCACATGAAAAAAATCAAGTGTCCTATAGGGGAGCTCCAATCAAACTCACAGCTGACCTTTCAGAGGAAACACTACAGGCCAGAAGAGAATGGAGTGACGTATTCCAGATTCTAAAAGAGAAAAATTTTCAGCGCAGAATAACTTACCCTGCAAAGCTCTCCTTTGTCTTTGAAAACAAAATAAAATTCTTCCACAGTAAAGAAAAACTTCAAGATTTTGTCTCATCTAAACCTGCCTTCAAATGATACTCAAGGATGTTCCCATGAAAGAAAAAAGAAATAGCAACCACCAAAAACAAAGGCAAATGTGGAGAACATCCCACTAAAAGGCTAACAGAAGACTCAATTATAGAACAACACATCGCCAAAATGACAGGACCAAACTGCCCCTTATCCATAATAACTCTGAATGTAAATGGCTTAAACTCATCAGTCAAACACCATAGATTGGAGGACTGGATCAAAAAACAAAACCCAACTATCTGCTGCTTACAGGAGACACATCTCACCAACAAAGATCAGAAAAAATTGAAAGTGAAAGGATGGAAAAAGATATTCCAAGCAAATGATAAGGAGCAGGTGTGGCCATTCTTATATCAGATGACATAGATTTTGATGTAAAGAGCATCTAAAGAGATGAAGAAGGATACCGCATAATGATCAAAGGATGCCTTCAGCAGGAAGAGATCAGCATAATAAATGTTTATGCTCCAAATGCCAAAGCATCTAGCTACACGAAACAAACATTAATGGACTTAAAGGGAGAAATAGACTCCATGTGATCATAGTGGGAGACCTGAATACCCCATTAACACAAATGGACAGATCAAAAAGCCAGAAACTCAGCAAAGAAACAATAGAACTCGCCCAAACTCTAGACAAATGGATTTAGTTGACATCTATCGAATCTTTCATCCCACAGACAGAGAATACACTTTTTTTTTTTTCATCAGTGCATGGAACTTTCTCCAGAATTGATCATGTAATAGGCCATAAAACAAGCCTCAGCAAATTTAAAAAAGTGGAAATCACACCATGCATCTTCTCAGACCACCAAGGAGTGAAGCTTAAGACCAAGCAGTTGAGACACCAAGAAAGAATTACAAAATATGGTGACTGAATAATATGTTACTAAATGAGCAATGGGTTAGAGAGGAAATCAGAGGGGAAATTTAAAATTTGCTTGAAACAAATGAAGGTATTGTGAAATTATCAATGAATCAATAATCGATATGAGTCAGACTGCTTCTGATCTACATCAAAGAATTGTAAAACCTAATATACTTGTAAGGCCCTATGCTACTCGGAAAGGGGCAGGGAGAGCAGAGAAATCTTACATCACCCTAGAAGGAATGAGGAAGACGAGAAGTATAACCTATCAGGATCATAACTAGTAACTCATAGACAACAGACTAAAATCAGCATTAGACAATAGCAAAACTACGAAGGCATATGGGGGGAATCAGGAGCAATTCCAACAACCTCTTAACAGGAGGTCATATGCACAGAGCAGGGGGGGACCCCAGAGTGGAGCAGGCAGACAGGAAGAGGAATGTATCCCAACCCTGAAGACTCCTAGATCCTCACCAAGGACTATCAGTACGAGCTCCGAGGATTACATTCCAACCGCCAAGGAGACCACGGGGAATTGGAGTGCCTTCGGCGGCTGAGAACTCTGAGGTCACCCATTTCCATTTGGGTCTCCCACATGGGATGGAAGAAGCCCATACCCCGCCTTGCAGGATCCAAGGTCATCGGAATGACAACCAGGAGCACTGAGAGGTCCATAGAAACAAAACAGTAAACTTCCTTTTGGACTAGGGAGAGGAGCTTTCTCTGGTTCTTGCCTGGTTCTGACTTTGGGTCCCCTCTCTCTCTCATAATGACCATCAGGATTGCTCCAGAAACCCCTCAAGACAAACTAACAAATAAACAAACGAACAAACAAACAAAACAACCTAGAATAGATGGAGAACAGCAAGGAAAGCTTAGAAACAGGAAATGGGCAGTGGGGATGCACTTATAACTCACTGGGTGGGACACGAAGATTAGTTACTCCTCACTAGGGTATTGAAGATTTCTCTGCACACCCCTCCTAAAACTAAAACCGTTCACCTAAACTGTTGACATATATCTTGTTACAGTTATAGAGTTAGACTACCCGAAAAACAGCCAGGTTCTGCAAAATCATGCTTCAATGCTATGAACTGCTAAATACTAAAATTAAAATAGACATGAGACAACTGAATAGTAATCTATAGCCGTTTAAGGTGTATAGAACCCAGCTGTATATAAACTAATAATTGTAATGTCAATGTAGAAGTCATAGGATGTGGTTCAGAACTTGCACTCTTTTTTTTTTTTTTTTCTTTCTCTCTTTGAACATGCTGGTTACACAATACCATGTCAACTAATCCCATTACATTATAAATTGTTACTGATGTAATATCAGGGCTTGTAATTGATTGCGATGATACTCTTTTGCTGTACCTTCAGACCAGAGACTGTCTCCCCATGAAACTGTTGAACTTATCTGGACAATAAGATGCTGGACTCTATGCATTGTAGATGCTTGCAAGGAAAGAATCTCAACTGAATTTGACCTGTGGTAATGCAACAAGATGGAAGAATCCACCATGGGGGGGGGAGGGTTTTGGGGAGGGGATGGGGGAATCCCAGTGTCTGTAAAACTGTGTCGCATGATGCAATGTAATCAATTAAAAAAAAATGGGACTCGTAATCTTTTGCAACAAAGCTTGCCCCCTTATCATCTTTGCTGATTTTCTTTGTTCCCAGGTGCTACTCCTCTGTGGTTACATGACAGTCCAGTGGATTAAGCCACTACTCACTACTTGCAACATCAGAACACTAGAACAGAGCACTGGTTCGAGCCCCAGTTGCTCCACTTCAGCTTCAGTTCTAACCTCTTGTTAATGTGCCCTGGAAATAGTGGAAGATGTCTGAAGTTCTTGGGATCTTAATGCCCACGTGGGAGACCTGGATGAAATTTGGGTTCCTGGCTTTGGCCTGGCTCAACCTGACTTTTGTGGTCATTGAAGAGTGAACCAAGGGATGTAATATCTTCATCACTATGTTTTTTTTTTTTCTTTCTACTACTGTTTTTCAAGTAAATAAATGATTTTTTTTAAAGAACAGACAGGGATTCCACCATAGGTGGAGGAGTGGGGGGAATCCCAGTACCTACAACTGTGTCACATAATACAATGTAATAAATTAAAAAATTAAGAAAAAAAAAAAAGGACAGGCAGATGAGATGATTGGCCTAGTCACAACATGAGTGGAACTCACCTAATAGATACAAATTCTTCCTTCTCTCTGCAAAGAAATAATAACCTGTGACATACCAAGACTCAGAATGGAGGCAGGACTCTAATTTTTCCACAGAGCCAAGGAAAGAGAGAACTTACCAAGTTCTTTCATGATTGCTTCTTAAAAGGAAAAAAAAATAACACAATAAACTTTACATAAGCGAAATCCACAGTCTGTTTTCTAGTTTATTCTAATAGTTCTAAATTACCAGGTTCACAATCTTTTCTTAACTTTGAATTCCTATGATTAACTTCTCCCAGGCCCAAGGTCGCCCCTCCCCAATCCCATTCACTGCCAAATGAGGGCATTGGGTGGGCCCTGGATCTGTGCAGTCACGGAGACCACTCCCCTCGGTGTACTCACCCCAAAAGAAGCAGTGCCCAGAGCCCAGGCAGGCCCGGGGAAAGCTCACCACGTGCATGTGGTGGCTGGCATCTGGGATCCAGGAATGAGACACCCTGTCCTGAGACCCACCAGCAGCTGGGAGGCTGCTGGAAGTTTAAACTGCCAGGCCCAAGGCCACGTCCCTCCCCAATCCCATTCACCGCCCAATGGGGCCGGTGTGTGGGCCCGGACCACACCCTCGGTGTACTCACCCCAAAAGGAGCAGCCCCGGAGTCCAGGCAGGCCCAGGGACAGCTCACCACATGCATGTGGTGCCTGGCATCTGGGATCCAGGCATGAGATGCCCTGTCCTAAGACCCACTGAGGATTACCAAAATTTTGATGTTCGAGCATGTTAACGCAAAGATTTTATAAAAATTGTGCTATGGAAACACACCTTTGTATGTGATCTGGCACCGTTTGTAGTAATAGGAGCAAGTTAAATATTCACTTACTTAGCAAAATTGTGAACATAGTGGTGCTGACGGTGAAAGACAGGTTCAGCAGGCTACAAGTCCTAAGATGGCTGGATGTCTATTGTTGGAACTGTTGATGTATAGTGGTTGCGTGTATGTGATACACTGACTTTTCTACAATGCTATGGCTCATGTAACATCAAATGCCCATTTTTTAACATCAAATTCCTCATGTATTATGTATTATCAGGACCCCAGAATCAGATAAATAAACACATGTGTCTCCTGTTTCAGCAGTACCTGGTGTTTTATGCAGTAATGGAGTAGAACGAAACCACTGCCTCAGTCCAGCACAATGACTACTTTCATTCTTGCCCAGACTGTCTGATCCACACCCTCAGCGGGTCAGGGCCATTTTCTCCAAGCTCATATGCTCTTGCCTTTTGTGTTCAGTCCTTCCGGACACCCACAGAGCCATCCTGTTCTGAACTGATCCCACCCCAGAACCATCACACCTGTGCAGCCTGAGCACCACTGTGTCCCATGCTTCTGTCAGTGCAGGTTTTACCAGTCACCTTTAGGTCAGTGTGGAATTCTACAGTATAAGGTGTTCTTCCTTCTAATTCCCATCCTGGCAATAGGTAATGGTTGAACCCACATGGGAGACCGGGATTGAGTTTTAGGCTCAAGGCTTCTATCTGGCCCAGGACCACCTGTTGATGGTATTTGAGGAGTAAATCATCGGACTGATGATTTGCTTACTCTGTCTCTTTTTCAAATTCAAGGCAAGTAAATAGGCACTTAAATTTTTTTAAGAATGATTTATTTGTTTTTATTGGAAAGGCAGATTTACAGATTTATACCCAGAGAAAGGATGTTCCATCTGCTGGTTCACTCCCCAAGTTGCTGCAACAGCTGGAGCTGTGCTGATCCAAATCCAGGAGCCTAGAGCTTCCAAAATGGTCTCCCACATGTGTACAGGGTTAAGGCCCTGGGCCGTCCTCTACTTCTTTCCTAGGCCACAAGCTTGGAGTTACATGGGAAGTGGAGCAGGCAGTACACAAACCGACATCCATATGGGATTCTGATGTTTGACGGGTTGGATTATCCAAATGTGCTATGGCAAAGGCCCAAGATTTCTCTTCTGTAATTAAAAATTTTCATTGAATAGTTCAGTTGACTTGATGAAGGAGCATATATTACAGCACAGACAAAATTCTCATTTTCACTGTAGCTCTCTCCTTCAACTTTATTGGGAGCTGTCAGACTCTTAACCTGTTGAGCCACAGCCTCCATATCCTCCACCTCTTTCACTAAAATGATTTTCATGTAAAACTACCCTATGGGCCTTCACAGTTACTTGAAAACCAAATAAAAAGACTCATGTTCCCAAAATTCCACTTTTACCTGTGGGATAAAACCCTGTCAAATCTCCCTAAATCTCAAGGTCAGAAGCATTTCATGTCTACTCTCCAAGACAGCAGGGGTGAGTGAGGAGAGTCATAGCCTACACCCACTTCCCCTCAGAAAGAACAATTACTTAGTGAGATTCTTTGCCACCTCGAATTATTAACAAATCTCTTCCACACGCTTTACAAATACTACTTGGAAATGCATAGAAAAATGTCTTTTATAAGGCTAAGCTGTCAACAGTTTAGAGCCGTTAGAGAAAATATTATATGCCTGGATAAGTATATTAATATACATGCACATTTTTAGAGAGATAATTTTTTAAAATTTAGAATACGTACTATTTTTCTGGAAAATTTACATAAAGCAGAAATCTATGTGAGTTGACACATAAAGCAATACAGATGGATTTTTTGTCTCATCCTCTCTCATTCCCAACAGAGTCTCTGTTTTCTGTGGAGGGTCCCCTGGAACCTGTCGTGGTCTCCCTGGGGGAAGACGCCTCTCTCCCCTGCCAGCTGCTGCCTGAGCAGAGTGCCGCCCACATGCACATCCGGTGGTACCGAGGCCAGCTCTCCCCGGCGGTGCTGGTGTTCCAGGATGGACAGGAGCACAGTGATGAGCAGATGCTGGAGTACCGCGGCAGGACCCAGTTGGTGGCCAATGCCATCAACAAGGGGAGTGTGACGCTGCTGATACAGCATGTCAGGGCCTCTGATGCTGGCCAGTACTGGTGTCATTTTAGAGATGGGGACGTCTTCCAAGAGGCCATCGTGGAGCTGAACGTTGTAGGTATGTGTGTATTCGTCAGAATGGAGGTAATTGAAAGCCTGGAAGGAGTAGAGGATCTTGAGTTCCTTTCCCAGCCATGCAGGAAATCTTGGATACATTAGCACACCATTTTGACTTGATAAATATGAGTTTCCTAAATTGTACAGGAAGGATAACACATTATATTCTGCTCACTTAAAAACACTGAAGAGTAACAAAATTTGAAGATATTTCACATACTTTTACCAAAGCATTTTTCGATAGTCGTATTCATTTAGCCTTAACATATTTTTTGCACTCTTGGGAGAGAAAAATAATGAACAGAATTAAACTCTTTTTGGGTTTAATTGCTCCTGCTAGTTTCCTTCCTGGGATGACCTGACACTTTGTGCAAATACATGGGAAAGTCCCTAAGCTGATTTCAGAAGTGTGCCCCAGCGCAACCCATTCTTCACCTTTGAATGTGCGTTTCCCCAGTCCAACCCTTAGCCTCAGAGACCATGAATTGTGAAAACCCCCAACCTCTGGCATGTGTCTTCTGCCCTGAGGTTTGGGCTCTATCCCTCCTGTTCACATGACGGGGCCTGAGGAAGGGGGCATCCGAGTGCTCTGCTCCTCTGGTGGCTGGTTCCCCAAACCAACAGTGCAATGGAGAGACAAGGCTGGAGGGAAGCTCTCATCGCTTCCTGAGTCTCAAACGCAAGACAGCGATGGGCTCTTCTCTGTGGAGTCATCTATCATAGTCAAGGACAGCTCCCTGGGCAATGTGACCTGTGCCATCCAGAATTCCCTCTCTGGCCAAGAGAGAGCGTCAGCCATCTTCCTCCCAGGTGAGCCCCAGCCTCAGGTGGGTGGAGTAAGGGAAGGAAGTGGGAGAAGTGCTGGGGGAGCACTGGGACTACAACAGCCCCCTTCAGGTTGGTGCTGACGGTGCCTCCCACCACCCCCGTGTAGAGCCCTTCTTCCCCAGGATGTCTCCGTGGAAAGTAGCGCTAGCCTGGACCTTCCCGGTGCTGAGTCTCCTCCTCATTGGGATCAGCTACATTGGCTGGAGGGAACACAAGGCCAAGGAGCTGGAAATAAAGAAGACAAAAGTTGAATCTGAGGAGAGAGATCAAGCGAAGAAGGAAAAGGAAGAGGCGTGTAAGGCCAGAGGTAAATGTGGAGGGGAGCCGGGTGAATTAGAGGTTCAGGCAAAAGCTGGATTAGATAAGAATATCAGAGATTCTCAAAGACTTCACAGGAATGTGTGTGTCAGGCACACCTTCATTTCTGGCAGTCTTGTCTGAGGAGAAAATCATGTGGGAAGCTGGGTTAAATGCGTTGGTCAGGAGGTCTCTAATGTGTGACTCACCACACCGTCCTTCCTCCCACCTGTCTGTCCCAGTCTGTGCTGTGCTTCGTCCCAATGTGAATGTTTTCCTCAGAACGCTTTTCCTAGTCATACTTCAAGAAATATCTTCTGATAAATCTAATTAATTCTCTTGGAAGCATTGAATGCTCTGGTAAGCATATCCTGGTTTTTCTTAATAGGGCATGAATGGTTATCCCAGTTTATCACTGAAAGTTAGGCATCCTCTTGAGAAGGCCAAATCTAATCACATTAGCTACTCACCTACTCAGTGACAGTAAATCCCTGGTGACGGAATTCTATCTCTTTGTCTTACAGAAGACCTCCAGGAAGAGCTCAGTGAGTCTTGCTTCCTCTCATGCCCTCTAGTTTGTTTCCCTTTTTTCCTGTTCTGGGCTTCTCATGGGGTGTTGTTTCTTGCAGAGAAGCGAAAAGACCTGTACAAAGAAGGTAAGAAACTTGGCCTTTCCCTTACCTTGATGTTTCAATGCCCAGTACTTTCTTAGCTCCTCCTCTTGAAGGAAAAGATGGAAAATGAAAAAATGTTGGAAAATAAGATGAAAGTAAAGGACTGTGAGATCAGAGATGAATACCGCATCTTTTCTTACCTGAAATTGTTCTGTTTCAGATTGGAAGAAGGCCCTGCTGTATCCTGGTAAATGATGCTCCTAAATCTTGTCTGGTATCTTCAGTGTTATGAGCTTAATGAGCAGACAGAAAATGCAGACACACATTCACACACACACACACACACACACACACACACACACACGCACTCACACACACACAGCTACAAACTTGCAAGTTGTGAAAACATATTTGGTATCAATGTGTGGTAATTTGTATTTGGAAACTCAATCAATATTTTTTTCTAGCTAAAATAAGTGGAAAATACTTTTCAAAAACATTCTTTCTCTCTTTCTCTCTTTCTTTCTTTCTTTCTTTCTTTCTTTCTTTGTTTCTTTCTTTCTTTCTTTGTAAGGCAGAGTTACAGAGACAGGGGGATGCTGTTTCATTCCTGAAATAGTTTCAATGGTCATACTTGGGCCATGCAGAAGCCAGGAACCAAAAGCGTCTTCCAGATCTGCCATGTAGGTGCAGGGGTGTAAGAACTTGGACCCTTTTATGCTGCTTTCCCAGGTGCATTAACAGGGAGCCATATAAAAAATGGGACAGCTGGGACCTGAAACAGCACTCATATGAGATGCCAGTTCTGCAAATTGTGGTATAACTCAGTGCATCTCAGCATGGGCTCCAGGGACTTCATATGAATGTATGACCTAAGTCACTTTGCAGAAGGAAGATATGGGCATTTCAGAGTGATCTTAATGAGATTTTGGAAGAGTAGTGAATGTCTTGTTGTATCAGTATTTATATACAGCAAATGAATACTCATGTTTAAAAAAGAATAGATAATATGGGGATTGGTTTTTTGGTGCACTGTGTTATGCTGTAGCCAGCGACACCAGCATTATATCTGAGAGTGAGTTTTAGCTCTAGCCACTCCACTTCTGATACAACTCCCTGTCAATTTTCCTGGAGGAGGCAGCAGAAGATGATCTAGTTAGTGGGACCTTTGTCACCTTTGTGGGAGACTTGAATGATATTCCAGGCTCCTGGCTTTGGCTCCAGTGGTTGCAAAAAATTGGATTATAAACCACCTGATGGAAGATATCTCACTGTGTCTCTGTCTCTCTTTGTAACTCTGCCTTTGACATAAAAATATTCATTAAAAATAAACCAAAAATAGATAGGTTATATGTTTTATACTTGGAAATTTATGTTGGACATATTTTTAGCTATCCAAGGCATACCAAGTCAGTTTCCATATACAGGGACATGGGGCTAAAAGGTTTGGAACTCTTCCAGTCATGACCTGCTTAACTTCATAAGCAAAGACAGAGAGCAGAATGCACCCCACCTGTCCTGTAGCTTCTGGATCTACCAGAGGTCAATGGGCTTGGTGAGGAAGTGAGAAAAATTGAGAAAATTGAGACGTGGTCATTCAGTGTAGGAAACATTTCCTCACTTTTTCACCCCTGGGTGCATATCCTTTGATTTGTGTTGGTGTTTTTCAGACTGGAGGAAGGAACTGTTTACGCCTGGTGAGTGACTTCTATTAATCTCTTTGTCCCCTTTCCAATGTACCTCTCATTCCTCCTTTTCCCTTCCAAACACCATGTTCTAGTGGAAAGGACAAGGCATCATTAGTGCAGAAAGGGAAGAACTTGGACATCACCAATACTAATCTGTTTTATTAATTCGTTGTGTTTCTACCCTTACATATTGACCCACTCTTCTTGTTCATGGGGTCCACTTGGTTTTGAAAATGGAAACTAATGTAGCCCCTCACTTGAGAGAATCCCTAAGTATTCCTGAAAATGAAAGGAATTATCAGGTACTCTGTTTAGTGATTAGTTCAAATGACCCAAAATACACAATCATGAACAAATAGAGGTTTATTCTTTTTTAAAAAATATATTTTTAAAAATTTTATAATGTATTTCCAAAGTCCCTTGGATTCCCATACCCTTTCCCCTTCCTATACTGATTTCCCCATTATCATTGCAACAGTATAGTCCTCATAATCAGTCATAGGTCCACCAATCTGCTATTTAAGTGTATCCTGCTTTGTAGGTATTGAAAGTGGTAGAGTCCAGCATCCTGTTGTAAAGATATATTTAACATTTTCATTGGGAGTCCTTCTTTGGTTTGAAAGTAGAGATGCATACTGCTTTGTATCTTCACATCTGGTTGTGATAATTTCTGTTACACAGTTACTCCACATATCCCCTTAAATGTAAAGCCATAAAACAAAACCAGTAACAGGAAGAAAAATTAGAAATTAGCAACAACACGAAGTTAAATAACATCCTTTCTATGAATTCGATCATTGTTCTATTTTATAAAAAACGTGGAAAGAATAATATTCTCAAGTTAATATTGCAAGTTCTGGCAAACCGTGGCACTCTGCTATGAAGCTAATAGTAGCATGGATGAAATTGAGTAAGACTCTCAGTGTAAGTACATTGTGTAAGACACACACATGCAATCCCAGTGTGTGTTTGTGTGTGTGTGTGCACATGCTTAGGGGAAAGGTGTTGTCATACCTCAGCTCCCCGTTTTCCCTGCTTCTTTAAGGTTTTATCTGTGTAGAAAGTTTGTGAAATATACAATGGTGATTCTCTTTTCTTCTTCTTCTAGCCTCTCTGTCTAACATCATGAAATGCCTAACAGGAGTAATTCTGGTGCAGAAGGAAAGGAGAACCACAAAGACAAGTCACAGAATCCATCTGCCATTGACCAGCCAGGAGATGACAACCTCATTTCAGTGGTCAGAAATGTTTCACAAAGGGGAGATACTATTGGGAGGTGGAACTGGGGACACTGATGATTGGATGCTAGGTTTTGTTGATGACTGTTGGAAGTTTACCCATCAGAGAAACATTAAAGTAAAACTCAGAGTCTTAGACAAGAAGGGAGCTAGATACAGGATTCATCGAGTTTTCTCCCCTTTTCTAGCCCCTTACACTTCCTAGTGAGCATGTATTTATAAATGGAATGAGACTGCAAGAATTCCTTATACTGAGGATAGTGACCACATGAGTGCTGATAATAGCAGGGGAGAAAAAGTCATTGCAAACCTTGTAATTCCACAATGTGGTGTATGCTTATAGTATTACATTAAAATGGAAATCTAAAGTTAAATCTTACTGAAGAGAATTCTTATATTTATGAAAATCTATCATCTGCCACCCTGCATTTCAATCAAAATAGACTTGTAAGGCATGTGCCAGCAGGCTGATGCAGTGGTGAGTCAGACTAATCCTCTGCCTGTGGTGCCAGCATTCCATATGAGGCCTGGTTTTTGCCCTGGCCACTCCAATCAATCCATCTTCCTGATTCTGATTATGGCTTGAGAAAGCAGCAGAGGTTGGCCCAAATCCTTGGTTCTCAGCACCTACGTGGGAGACTAAGAAGAAGCTCCTGGCTCTGGCTTTAGATCAGCTCTGCTCTGGCTGTTGAACTGATTAGGGGAGTGAACCAGCAGAGGGAAACTCTCTCTCGTGTCTTATCTCACTGTTTCTTCTTCTTGGTCTGTAACTCTTCCTTTCCAATAAAAATTGTAAAGGCGTGTAACGGAACGCTTGGCTTAAATAACATGCAAAAAAGAAGTATTTGTCATTACACTTTTTGTACCTTAATTTATACTGAAAAACTATTGGATATTTGACACTGGTTAAATCCTTTATTACTCAGCATAGGAAGGTAATAAAGCAAAGGAAACGGGCACTAAAGCAGTTCATAAACTACTGCGGGTGTGTGGGTGTGGGCAGTGAGGTCAGACCCTGGAGGAGGTAACACCTAGACTTGTACTTCTACTTGATATTCACTGTTGCTTCCAGCTGTACAGGACGATAGGTGTCACACTGCTGAGGGAACTCGGCACTAGGCGGGAATCTGATGTGTGGAAAGGAAGGGAAGGGTGCGTGAAGACACACATCTGTGTTAGGTGCCAGGTGAGTGAGAGGCTCTGAGTGGCCATGACACAGATGGGTGCCAGTCAGAGGTCAGCTGTGGGGAGTGGGAGGAAGTCACAAATTCCAGATATCCCTCTGCAGGTCTGAAGAACTCAGGGCTGAACTCAAATTACTCTTGTCCCCAGAGATTCACTTCTGACCCACTGTGCTACTAGGAGGCCCTGCACTATGCTTATTGGAATCTGCCCTGGGGTTTGACCTGCAGTCAGCATGGGAGGGACGGCATGGGTCCTCCCTTCATCCAAAGCCTGGGAAGCCTGTCACTGCACCCACCCTCAGCCCCAACCCACCTTGAACACCTGTGGTGAGGAGTGAGATTAGAAGAGTCAGCAAGCAGCTCCAGGATCCATGCCAGAAGGTGGCACGTGAGTGGTCTGCAAATCCCTGGGTTTTCAGTTGAGGTGGGGCCTGGGGGCAGAGAACCAAGAAGCAGAGTTGGGGCTTTCAAGCAGAGATAGGGTCATGTCCTGGCAGAACACCAGACCATCTGCTAAAATATCTTACTTTGCATCTTCCACAATTGTGGGTGCTCACTGTATCTGCCCAGCATTCCTGTGAAGCAGGCTGCGTGAGGAAGGGACACCAGATGAGAAGTCAGGTCAGAGTGATCCTGTTGGCTTTGTCATGAATGACTCTGGGCTCCTGTCCTGCAGCCTGGACACGCTTGTCTGTCATGTGGTGCACTTGTGGTGAGGTTAGCAATGACTGACACTTCCATAGAGGAGAACTTCAGAAGCAAAGAGGGAGGAGCAAGATCATGAGAGCAGAAACCAAATCACCTTGTCTCCTACACGCATATTTTGTATTCTCTTGATAGAAGTGCATTGTTCTAAAGTCATTTTAAAAGTTTGTATAGGTGTGTAAGCTCCAAAATTGATACAACTTAGTAAATTCTCTTTAGTCAACTATTGCAGTGACTTGGTATTTTAGGGACTTAATAGTCTTGTTTTTTTTTTTTTTTTTTTTAACTTCAGTTCTAACAGCTCAGTGTAAGCAGTAATTTGTAACTTTTTTTGACATGGATTTAAAAAAAGTTTATTTTTATTGCAAAGTCAGATATACAGAGAGAAGTAGAGACAGAGAGGAAGATCTTCTGTTTGATGATTCATTCCCCAAGTGACTGCAACGACCGGTGGCACAGGCCAATCTGAAGCTGGGAGCCAGTAGCTCTTCTTGGTCTCCCACACAGGTGCAGTGTCCCAAGACTTTGGGCCATCCTCAACTGCTTTCCCAGGCCACAAGCAGGGAGCTGGATGGGAAATGGGGCCACCGGAATTAGAATCGGTAACCATATGGGATCCTATCGTGCTCAAGGCGAGGACTTTAGCTGCTAGGCCACTGCACCGAACCCTGACATGGATTTTTAACAACTAGGCACAGGCCTTGGGACTCAGCATTGGCATTCACCTTGTACCTCAGCAACAACTCCTCACTTGTTTGCCACCTGTACACTGCACTTCACCCAGAAAATTAAGAGAAGTGGGGAACTGTGGAGATCTGATGGTGAATGCTTGTCTCAGCTCACAGATCATGGCAATATTAAAGTTTACCCTATTCAGCATTAATAGCATTGGTACAAGTTCCTGCATCTACATGGAAATGGGAAACAGGAGTTTGTAACTAGAAAGCTTGAATTTGATGTTTGACATTGAAGCCTAGTTACATACAGATAGAAACAGAACCAGTGATTTTCAGCTGGTGGCTGACAGTCTGTGGTCAGCTTGTCCTTGGTCTTCAGTGTGCAAGGTTCAACTGAATGTGGGGGCTGTCCTGGCTTTATAGGATCATTGATAGCATCCTGGCTTTTACCTAATAAAGGTCTCTACCTGCGCCCAAGGTATGATTATCCAATATGTCCCCAGACAATGCAAATGTCCTCAGGGCTATGGATGGCCCCTTCCAACTGAGAAGGCCCCAGGTAGCAAATCTCCTCTTTCTACCTCTTGCAAATAATCTGAGCACCAGATAAGACCAGGAGAGTGAGAGAGAGAGAGAGAGGAGCTTACCCATATACTGGTTCACTCTGTAGATATCCTCTATTGGACTGGAATAGGAGCCTGGGACTCAGTCTGGGTCTTCCATGTGGGTGACAGACACTAGAGACATTAGCGGAGAGCTAGACCAGAAGCAGTCATTCCTGACAGCTAAGCTCTCTAGTATGGACTACAGAAGGCTCTAGTAATGTCTTAATTGATGCACATAGTGTCTGATCTCTAGCCTCATTTTGTAATAAAATTTTTTAGCACTCTTTCAGATATAGATGTTGTGACTGGGCACCTGTTTTCTTAGTGATATCTGAAATAAGAACATGTATTTTTACACACCATAATACCAATCTCCTAAAGTGCTTGATTAATAATTTCCCAGTTAGATTGTGGAATTTTAATTCTGTTCCATAACTGACATTATAGACTGGATAGTAATGGACCTAGCATTATACTATGGTGTAACAGAAGTTTTCATTTCATAAATACTTATTGCAACAAATACAACACGTTTTCAAGTTTCTTTTACTCTGAATTTTTAATGTTTCAACATTAAATTAGCATGAAAGCTGCCTTTATCTTGGAAGTTTGAATCTTTTAGCTGAGTAGAGCATCTTTTCAAGCTTTATTTATTTATTTGAAAGGCAGAGCTAGAGAGAGAAAGAGATAGAGAGATCTATCTGCTGGCTCATGCCCCAAAAGAGCAAGCACAATGGCCAGAGTTAGGGTCTGAAGCTGGAACAAGGAGCTCCTTCAGGGTCTTCCACATTGGTGCAGGGTCCTAAGGACTTGATTCAACTTCTGCTGCTTCCCAAGGCCATAGCTGGGAGCTGGGTCAGAAGTGGAGCAACCTGGATACGAACCAGTAATCATATGGGATGCTGGCTCCCCGCAGAAGGAGGATTAGCCAGAAACACTTTGTGCCAGCCCGAGATGTGTTTAATATTTCAATTACATTGGTACCATGGACTTGGGGTACTTGCTGATCTCTACCAATGGATTTTTTCTTTTGTTCATCCCCACATTTCTTTTAGAGTATTCTTAGATGCCTTTCCACTCCTCCTGTTGGCTGCATTCCATAGCACTTCCCCATGACTCCATCTTTTGCTTGTCAAAAATTCCCATGTCCCTAAGGCTCCCAGCTGCAACCCTCAGACACAACCTCCCTGCCCTTTCTACCCCATCAGGGAACTTAGTGAGAAAGACATTGCAGTAGGTGCGGGGAGGAGGGTGGAAAGCAGTGTTTGAATCTTGTTCTGCATCTTCCCTATGCCTACAAAGGACAGACCCTGGGGAGTAGCAGTGTTTGTTGTATGTTTGGTTTTTACTGGGATTGGCCCTTAGCTATTCATCTGAATCATAAGGCATTCTCAGGTCTGAAACACTCTTAGAGTGTAATAACACATTAGGTAAGGAGTTAGGTTATCTACCTGCATATTTTCACGTTTGACTGGGGAAGGGAGACGCTGGAGTCTTGTTCAGAGTGTATAGTCATTAGAAGTTTCCAGGGTTGCTGGGTCTCATTATCTTGTGTTGGTTTCAGGCAGGATGGTCAATATCTCAGGATACACCATGCCTGGTATTATTGCTTCCTTATGCTTGATCCTGCTGACATTGAAATGGTCAGGTATGATTCCCCTCTTCCCTTTTCTGTATACTGCAATGCCCTGGTGATCCAGTCCCAAGGCAGAGTTCTGAACTCCAAAAAGCAGAGTGTATGTCCAGTGTGGAACCCGGGTGCTTTCTTCACTGGACCCTGTATTTCTCTGTTTGATTGGGGAGAGGTGATGCTAGAGCCTTGTTCAGACTGCATAGCCGTTAGAAGCTCCTAGGCTGCTGGGTCTCATTGTCTTGTATTGGTTGCAGGTAGGATGGTCGATATCTCAGGATACAGCATGTCTGCAACCACTACCTGCTTATGCTTAATCCTGTTGACACTGAAATGGTCAGGTATGATTCTGCTTCCAGCTGTGTCACCCTGGGAAGTCAGGTGGACCTCACATGCCTTGGTTTATCTGCCCTTATAATAGCAAGAATGGCTGTGCATCTTAGCCTAGCACAGGACAATCATCCTCTCGGTGAAAATCTAATCAATGTAGTTATTACCTAAATTTTACGAAAATAATTAACATGCTAATCACTAGTTTTCAACTAAAAATAAACATGTGTGTTGATTTCCCTGAGAATAAAAATAACCCGGATATGTTGGATTTAGTAACATTTTAAATATGAAGAAATTAGGCCGCAAATATCCCATGTTTACTGAGAATAATAGGTGTGCCCCAAAGCATGTAGGTGGTTGACAGACTTGGCACTTGTGTTCTCATTTTTGAACTTAGTCTACTCTCACTACACAAAACTATCCTTGTAACAAACAAGTGCATCATACATACCAATGATAGAATTCTCTGAACCACTGAGCTTAAAACCCTGTTTTCATGGAGGAACACCCTGGAGCAAGCACACCGGTTCTCTGGTTGACATTCCTTGATTCTTCTTTTGTACTATTTTGTAGATGACTTCCGAGTGATGGGCCCTTCCCATGCTCTCCTGGCCTTGGTGGGGGAAGATGCCCTATTAACCTGTCAGCGCCTTCCCAACGGGACTGCAGCACACATGGAGGTGCGGTGGTATCGCTCAGAACCCAGCACACCCATCATTGCATATGGGTACGGAGCTGAGATGACCGAGGTGCAGATGGAAGAGTACAGAGGCCGAGTGGAGTGGATAGATGATGGCATTGCAGAGGGGAGAGTGGCTCTGAAGATACACAACATCCAGCCTTCTGACAATGGGCAATACTGGTGCCATCTCCAAGAGGGCAACCATGCTGGTGAAGCGAGCATGCTGCTCAAAGTAGCAGGTGAGTATCTGCAACAGGCATATGATTTTGGAAAGTCATTAACCTGTAGTCATCAAACCATTCCTAATGCTCATATCTTGTATCACTTGAAAAAAGTGGACTTGACATCTTCAAAGCCAGTTCACTAAGTAAATATTCTTCCAAATGGAAAATGTAGTATGATTTTGACAATTCTTGGGCGGGGGCATTATTTGAAATATGAGACATGTAGTTATTTGCAACTTTTCAGAGACTTATTTATTTGGAAACAGACTGATGGGTGGGGAATCTTGTATCTGTTGTTTCACTCTCCCAGTGGATGAAACAGCTCTGGATGGCTCAGGCTGAAAGCAGAAGTTCTATCTTGATCTCCCACCTGGATGGGCAGGAACCCAAGTACTTGAACCATCATCTATTGTTTCCCAGTATATAAGCTGGACAATGGATGAGAGATAGAGTAGCTGTGACTCTAACCAGCACTGCCTCATGGGTTTGGGGCATCCCAGGCAGCAGCATTACGTGCTGTGACACAAACTCCTGCCCCATCCATTAGCATTTTTTTTTTTTCTGAGAGAAGGATCTGCACCACCTAAAGCTGGTGTGCAAGAGCATGCTGACTGCTTTCTGCTTCCATGACCCCTGAGCTCCCATCCCTTCCCTTCCATCATTTGGGGCTCATAGCTGTGACTTTTCTCCATAGGCCTGGGGTCTGTCCCCCAAATCCACACGAAGGGGTCTGTAGAAGGTGGAATCCAGCTTGTGTGCACTGCAAAGGGCTGGTTCCCAGAGCCCCGTGTACGCTGGGAGGACAGCCAGGGAGAGTGGTTGCTATCTCACTCTGAGCACTACTTCCAAGATGCCAATGGCCTGTTCTATGTGGAAGCCACCCTGTTGGTGCTGGATGCCTCTCCAGAGTCTGTGTCCTGCATCATCCACAACCCTGTGGTCAGTGAGGAGAGGGTGGCCACCATCGCCCTTCCAGGTCAGTGCTCTTCCTTGAGGGTTCACAACCTGTCCTATTGTATAGAGGAAAAACACCTCACATCAGTAATATGTGTTCAGATCAGTAAAATATCCTTATCTGGACTAGTTGTGCACCTGTTGTATTTTAGTTACATTAGATTTTTACCTTCTGTTCATTCTCTACTGATTAAACTTGTTTTATTAATATAAAGAAAATAGAAATTATGCATTTCATAAGTATAGTTCCAATTAGGCTTACTCACTTTCCACCAACCCCTGTTCCCACTTTGACACGCCACACTCCCCTCTCTTCATCTGTTTTTGCAAGAACATAGTTTTAATTCATTTTATATTCACAGGGTTAGTCTGCTTTCATTTTTGTCATCACAAGTATTCTAAGGAAAACAAAACTATATTTCTTCATCTGAAATGTTTTTCCATGCTATGGTGTGCCAATTAATCCTATTATAGAAAAATAATCAGAGTGGGGCCAAGCGTGGTAGCCTAGAGGCTAAAGTCCTCACCTTGAATGGGCCGGGAGTCCCATAAAGGTGTCGGTTCTAATCCCAGCAGCTCCACTTCCCATCCAGCTCCCTGCTTGTGACCTGGGAAAGCAGTTGAGGATGGCCCAAAGCCTTGGGACCCTGAATCTGTGTAGGAGACCTGGAGGAAGTTGCTGGTCGTGGGTTAGGATTGGCGCAGCACCGGCTGTTGTGGTCACTTGGGGAGTGAATCATTGGATGGAAAATCTTCCTCTCTGTCTCTCCTCCTCTCTGTATATCTGGCTTTGCAATGAAAGTAAATAAATCTTAAAAATACCCCATAAATACACAGAGTTGGAGAAAGCAAATTTGCCCCGCTGCTTAATAATAGAAAAGGATACAAAGGAAGTATAATGTAATAATATCATGCCCATCTCCTTACATCATGATAAAAATAATGAAAAATATTTTCAAGTAATTTTAGTGGCTGAAAAAAATTCTTGTGACAAGCTATTTAACTATAAAGATTCCATCTATCTGTCTTTAAATTGACATTTCAAATTATACTGATTATTGACTTTGAATAATGTGATTGAATTAAGATTTTTGGGCAGTCTAGATATATGTACTTTATTATGATTCATGTAAACAAGTAAATAATTAGAAAATTCTGTGTTAATGCTAAAAGTAGCCAAATTATATATACACAGATACACACACACACACACAGACTCACTCATAAATATACACACATTCAAATACATATATATATATATATTTTTTTTTTCTCTGACTGAAATTGCAGGTGTTAAACTTATGTCCACACTTTTTATATTTTCTGAGCATTTCTAAAAAATATTACAAGTTTGCTACCTGATAGTTAAAGCTCTGCAGAAACAATTAGAATTGTTGGGCAACAGTGCTGAGCTGAGAGCATTCTTTTTTTTTTTTTTTTTTTGTTATTTAGAGAAAAGGAAAACCAGTTGGAATACCAGATAATTCACTGGAAAGAATCAATATTCTCTATTGCTTCATATTTATTACATATTAAACTCTTCTCTTAATGTAGAACTTGCTTTGTTTTATGTTTTTGGATAGTTTCTCTCCTTTCTTTCGGACCAATTTCCTCAATGTGTACTTCTCACTTTTTTTCCAGAGAAACTGCAGACTGAGATGGGTAAGTGGGACTTCCTGATGTTCCAGGGAGGCTCTGGGGACACAGCATGTTAGACAGGGGGACAGCCTGAGATCCAAATGAGAAGCCAAGGTGTGGGTCACCATCTGAGATTAAGTTTATCAGTGGGGCTGGCAGAGTGAAGGTCTCCTTCAGGGCTTACTTCATTGTGTAGTCTGCATGCAAACTCCAATGAGCCTCAGATGATTGCCCATGGAAGCTGGCACCCCCTCCATTGTGTATAGAATAAGAACTGCCTTTGGGTTGTGGGGGGATGGCACCTGACAGGTGGTCAGCCTTGGAGGTCATTTTAAAGCATTCCCAGTGTGTAGGACACAGTTATTATCAGCACATCACTGCCCCCTTGAGCTCATCTGGCTGCCATGATCCTGTGCCTGTTCCTCGCCCAGCAGACCCTGGACCTCATCTTTAGTGAGAGCAGGCTGTTAACTTTTTAGGTGCAGCCTGGGATCCTATGACTGGAACAAAGACTTGTTGCATCTTTTGAAGCTTTGTAAACAGTGTATAGGTATTGTTTTATTGTACTCAAGATACGTGGTTTAAACATTAACTACCTGTTGCAACCTCTTTCAGTTTCCACTTTATAACCCTACACTTCCCCTCCTGTTCAAGGTCTCTTGTCCAAGCCTGGGACAGCAAGTTGCTTTTGAAACTGTCCTATATGTCCTCTTCCCGTAAATGCCTGAACTCCATCCAGTCACCTGCCACAGGAATGTGTGTGCATTGCTGTTCATGTTAGCAGAGCTTTGGGAATACCTTTCCTTTCAATCTATGTAAGAGTTTTTGAGGAAAATCAGGATAACACACCCCAGTTTCTGGAGCTGGAAATGACACCTTTGGTCCCTCTGGGCCATAAAGATAAAGGGAAGGGCCTCAGGAAGGTCATTGGTAACTGCACATTGAGAGAAGAGACACACCCCAACTGAAACTCCTTTTTCTAAGGCAGCTCTGCACCTGCCTGGGGGGGCAAGTGTGCCTCTTTGCATGGAAACCTTTACCCCTGGAGATGGTTAGGTGCAGATTAGGGAGTCAGGTTAGTGCTTGTGCAGGGGGAGTCAAGTCCATTTGTGTCAAGGAAATTTTGGTGAAGAAGGAGCCCTGAGTTCTCTGAGCTAACCTCACATGTTTGTAGGGGACTCGACACACAAAGCAATTCCTGTCTGATTATTGCTAGCTGTGCTCACTTCTGGGCCTATAATCCAGCAATGTAGAAACATGGAGCTTCATTCTGTCCACTTCCAGGTTTGGGAATGAGAGTTGAGCCACAAGAACCTGGAATAAGGGAGTGATGTGATGACTGGGGGGTCCCATGCCCCACAGCTGCCTCTTTCTTACCTCCATGGTTGGAGGCTCAGATAGATGAGTGTGCACTGGTCATGCCAGCTGTTCCATGAGTCCTGGGACTATGGCTCCAGGCCCTACTGTGGTAGAACATTATGTTTTGTGAAAACAGTGACTTGTACTTTGAAATGTCATTCCAAAAAAGGATGCTATATGCTTCATAGAAATTCCTTTCTTTCTTCTTTCCTTCCTTCCTTCCTTCCTTCCTTCCTTCCTTCCTTCCTTCCTTCCTTCCTTCCTTCCTTCCTTCCTTCCTTCCTTCCTTCCTTCCTTCATCCCTCCCTCCCTCTTCTTCCTTTCTTCTCTTTCTTTCTTTCTTTCTTTCTTTCTCTCCCTCTCTCTCTTTCTTTCTTTCTTTCTCTCTTTCTTTCTCTCCCTCTCTCTCTTTCTTTCTTTCTTTCTTTCTTTCTTTCTCTCTTTCTTTCTTTCTTTCTTTCTTTCTTTCTTTCTTTCTTTCTTTCTTTCTTTCTTTCTTTCTTTCTTTCTTTCTTTCTTTCTTTCTTTCTTTTTTCCTTCCTTCTTTTCTTTTCTTTTCCTTTCTTTTTTTCTTTTCTTTTCTCTTCTCTTCTCTTCTCTTCTCTTCTCTTCTCTTCTCTTCTCTTCTCTTCTCTTCTCTTCTCTTCTCTTCTCTTCTCTTCTCTTCTCTCCCCTTGTTTCACTTCCATAGTTGTAACACTTCACAGATTTACTCTCGTTTGGCAGTGACTAGTCTGTTTTACAGGCATATGTGATTTGCTGAAAGCTCTAAGCAATTGTGACTACTCCATAATTCTTGCCTATCTAACTTACGAGGGCAACTCAGTAATAGCCACAATTTCAACATCTCATTAGTCTGTATTTTTCTCACCTTTACAATGAACAGGTTGGCCTGAACTCTGCTATAGTGCCCAGCACTGATACCATAGCTGTAAGTTGACTTAACATGGCAAACTGGAGAGAGGAGCACACATTTCTGAAGGTAGAGATGCTGTGATGACAAGATGCTCAAATTCTAGGGGATTTGCTCACAATTCAGTGCACTTCATGCTCCAGGCAGGATTTAATCTTTCCGGTGACTGTTCAGAAGGCCTTTGAAGAACATGCATCCAATACTAAACACCAAGCAGTACATGTGAGCACTAATGTGCGAATGCTATGCAGTGAACTGTGTAGAATATGGAACCTCTGCACAGCTCTAAAGGAGATCCTATCTCTGTCACATACCAGAAATCAAGACTTAAAGATTTGTTTACTACTTGTAACTTTGGATTCAGGAGAAATGGGAGTTTTGTGTATCTACAATGCTTCTAATTGGCTGAACTGCATGTTTGCATTCATTTTCTCTACTTCCCATTAAAGTCAATGTTAGCTCTTAATTACCATGTCTCTCTCTGGGCATACTGGTTTGAGATTAGATTTGTGCCACATGTCATGTTCAAGGCGAAAAATCCCCACAGGGATGGCAGAAGTGTTGAAATGTTCTTTTCTATTAAGTAATTTAAAACTTGGGGATAGGAAAACAGTAAGAAACTATTCCTCAATTTACATTTTCTAATTCCTGCCCTCGTCTTCTGAATTAAACAAATATGTAATGGAGCTAATATTTTTTCAAAGGGAAATTTGGAAGCTAAAATACAGAAGACATCAGAAATAACTAGATTTACATTATAGATAAACTAGAAGGGAATATTGGGAATATCAAATTGTGTTTGTAGTGAAGTTTCTTTTCCAGAAAGATACCTTAGAGGTTTTGGCTATGATGCAATGAGGACATTATGTTCTTGGCCATGGACTTCTGTGCAAAGAATCTACAACTTTCTGTCTGTATTTCTGTCGCAAGTATCTCCACACATAGTAAATCATCCTTACATTCACTGGAAAATGACGATTTTTAAATTAGAGTACAGCTAACTTGGTATAGCCGCAGGAAGAACTGGGAGTGTTACAGAACTGGCGTCCAGGGAAGCCCTCAGCGACAATCCCCACATCAGGGGAGTTTGTTCGTTTATTACTGCTTTGTACTCCATGTGCTCTGAACTGCCCCAATTCTTTCTTTATAGCTCTTTCTCAAATTAAGTGTGGATTTTGAATTTGGTGTGTCTCTAAACAACCCTCACATACACATTTATGTATGATTTTGGGAAATAGAATTTGATTGCTGGATTTGACTTATGAGTCATCAGAAATGCTAACTTGAGGTAGATTTTACAATTCTCAGGACTGAAAATGCGTAGAAGAGCCATTTCCAACAGCCTTCATTACCCCGCTTAAAGCATTCAAGTTGTATAGACCTATGCACCCTTTCTCATCCTCTGCAAAGGTATTTAATACTATTTTTCTATCCCTAAGTCTTAACTTATTTAATAAAAAGATTATTTCTACACTTCTACCAGTCCTGTGTGGATTTTTCCCCCTTGTCCGTAATCTGTAGCATGTGTCAAATCTCAGATTTCACCTGGATCTTTTTGTTTAATCCCACAGCAATCTTAGGATTTTCACAATGATAGAACAAATTTATAGTTTAAGGACACAGACAGATTAAGAAATAGTGAGGTTTAATTGTAATATTATTTTGTTATTGATCTGCAAGCCAAACAGATACAGGCAGGGTGGGTGAGTGATTTTTTGTGTGGTTTTTCCCTGGGCAAGAATGACCTCTAAGTTGAGCCCATCACGCCCCATCTTTTCACAAGGCAGCTCTGAGCTCCACTCTAGATTACAGATGTTCTTGAGATAGCATCATTTGCTTCATTTTAATAGTGTTTAAAATTTTGTTTCCATTTTCACCAGCTTCTTTAAAGGTGATTGGACCTTCCCAGCCTATCTATGTGAGGGTGGGAGAAGATGTGGAGGTGACCTGCTACCTGTTCCCAAAGGTGAATGCACAGAAGATGGAGGTGAGGTGGGTCCGATCCTGGCGCTACCCTGCCGTCCATGTTTATATGGATGGGAGCGATGTGGCTGGGGAGCAGATAGCAGAATACACAGAGAGGACTTCTTTGATGAGTGATGCCATCCAAGAGGGCAGACTGACCCTGAAGATACACAACACCAGCATTTCAGATGATGGGCAGTACCGATGTCTTTTTGAAAAAGATGATGTCTACCAGGAGGCCAGTATGGATCTGAAAGTGATAGGTAAGGATTTCAGAGATGTGTTCTGGGTTCAGCATCTGTCCCTGATGTATTAACATGCTGATCTGGCAATGGGCACTCTGGTACATGACATTTTGTAGTGTCCATTGATCACTAAGTGTATATTGATCCCTTTAGTGCTTCTGAATTCTCAGAGAGACCTGAAGATCTGGAAACTGAAGTGGACCAAAAGTTAATTCTATGGGCATATTACCTGCCCACTTCTTAATCTGTCTCTATAGTGACCATATATGTAGGGTCATCTAATGATGTTATTCCTTGATTTTACACAGGATTCATGATTTAATCAGTATGGTATTAATTTCCCTCTATAGTGAAGTCATAGGCCTGACTATTGAACTGACCAGAGATACTAGGCATTTTTTCTCGGACCTCATTCCCCAGGTGTGGGCTCCTCCCCACTGGTCACCATGAAGGAGGGAGAAAAGCTGCTGAAGTGCACTTCAGATGGGTGGTTCCCGCAGCCAAAGGTGCAGTGGATGGACCGAGATGGAAATGTGATGCCCTCATTCTCTGAGGCTCTGACACAAGGCAGCCATGGGCTCTTCCACGTGGAGACACTTTTACTGGTGGAAAACCACATCATTGTGAATGTGACTTGTTGCATTAGCAACCCCCTGCTGGGTGAGGAAAAGAGGACTACTTTTTCTTCCCCAGGTTGGTGATTCCATTTGTTTTCCCTTATGTCTGAGAAATAAGTATTAAGAACAATTCTGACCTATTTATTGAGTACTTTTTAAAGAAACCTAATGTTTCATGAAACAGCTGCTCTACCTCTTGTAAAGTTGGTCTTCAGCACATCTAGGGATCCAATCCTCTGAATTTTCTCCTCACACACCTTCCTAAATCCCTGAAGTTTCATTTATTGCTGGGTATAACTAAGTTCCATTGTATTCTATCTGCAAAACTCTCTCAATTTGAAAATAATAAATAGTAAGTGCTTTCCTTTTGCTTTTTCCCTCCTAGTGATTTTTCTTCTGGATTTAAAAGTAATTAATGTTCAGAGTGACACACTTGGCATAGTAGTTAAGATGTTGGTTTGGATGCCCACATCACCATTAGAGTGCCTGGCTTCAAATCCCACCTCTACTGTCACTTCTAGCTTCCTGATATAAGGCATCCTGGAGGCAGCAAGGACAGCTCAGTGAGTTGTGTCTCTGACACTCACATGGGAGGGAATTCAGTTCTTGCTCCCAGTTTTGACCTGGAGAATGAACCAATGGATGGGAGATCTCTGTCTCTTTATTTCTGCCTTTTAATGAAATAAAACAGATGAATTCAAATTTTTTTTTCCTTCATATTGTTTTTACTGCTGTTTTATGCTTTTGGCCCTTTAGTTATTCTGTGATAATATGTTGTAGTTGTAAAAGAATAGGGAAAATTTTGTGTGTGTGTGTGTGTGTGTGTGTGTATGTGTGTGTTTTTCTGTATGTCTGAAAGGAGTAAACACTAAAGCAGGGCACAAACTTACAGTATTTCATCAGCATCCACATAGCAGGCAAGTGTGGACCTAATTCGTCCCTAAAAGATCCAGTTCTTTAGCCTGTTTTTTTTTTTAAAGATTTATTTTTATTATTATTTTTTTATTGGAAAGGCGGATGTACAGAGAGGAGAGACAGAGAGGAAGATCTTCCGTCCGATGATTCACTCCCCAAGTGAGCGCAACTGGCTGATACTATGCCGATCCGAAGCCAGGAGCTTCTTCCGGGTCTCCCACGCGGGTGCAGGTTCCCAAGGCCTTGGGCAGTCCTCCACTGCTTTCCCGGGCCACAGGCAGGGAGCTGGAACGGAAGCGGGGCTGCCGGGATTAGAACTGGCGCCCATATGGGATCCCGGGCGTGCAAGGCGAGGACCTTTAACCACTTGCGCCACCGTGCCGGGCCCTAGCCTGTTTTTTAGCCTGGGAGCTGCTCAGGTGTAAAAGAATTTTGATCTTTCACTAATGGGAGGCTGGGTTTCCATTTCAGACTCCAGGCTGTGTTTGTCGTGGCCCATTTTGATGATTGCTGTGGTATTGCTTCTTGCTGTGGCTGTAGGCTTGAGGAGGAGGAAGAGCTATGAGAACGTAAGTAGGATGACAAGTAGTGCATAGTACACTTGGCCTCTATTCAGTAGTCACCTGTAAGAGGACTTCAGTGAATATTTGCTGCTTTAGGAGTCTATGTATTTAAGGGTCTGTGCTGAATGAGATTGGAATTTGCAGTGATAATGGAAGCTTAAAGACTAATTGGCTGTAATTTGTTTCCCTTTTGTCCTTTCCCCAGTGATCTGGAAAACAGAGAGGAAAAAGTTACGGACAAACCATCCTTGTCTTTGGAGCTGTGGCCTGAGCTCTAACTGTGATTCTGTTGGCATGAACATTTTCATTTCATTAATACCTTTACACATGTGGTGATGCATATTTTAAAGATTCCTGTTCATGTACAGCTAGAGAAACTGATTCATGTGATCCAGAAAATTCTGCTTTAAATTTCTTTTGTTGTTAGGACATTTGTTTGCTTATTAATGGTGTGAAATTGATTCTCATTTTTACTAAGTCATAATCACAGTAGATTTTCTTTCTTTACAGTGAATTGGATACCAGATTCAAATAGAGCACACTTGGAATGGAATGATTCTGAGAAAACCAAGGATGCAACCCGTGCACATTTAGATAGACATATACCCAACAGAGAGCAACCTATCTGCTCCATGTGCAGGACCACAAGGAGGTGAAGGGCTGAAACAAAAGAGGACGTGTCCTGGGTGTGGAAGGAATGCTAGGAGGCCATCACTGGGGAACTATAGGTTAAAACATAGCTTGCAACGCTGGTATCTCATAGGGATTACTGGTTGGAGTGCTGGATGTTTCACTTCCAATCCAGCTCCCTGCTGATGCTCCTGGAAGGGTAGAAGATGATGACCCATGTGTTTGATCCCTGCTACTTATGTGGGAGACCTGGATGGAGTTCCAAATTCCTGGTTTCAGTCTGGTCCAGCCCTGACCACTGGAGCGTGGACTAGGGGATAGAAAAATCTCTGTCTCGCTGTCTTTCCCTTATAAATAAATAAATAAATAAATAAATAAATAAATATTTTTAAAGGAAATCAGTATTAAGCCCTCATCCATATTCACAATCTCTGCTGCCTGAAAGTGGTTCATGGACATTTAGAATCTCCTTGTGTAGACTTCCCTCTGTACAATATGACCGACTGGTGCCACATTGGGACCCTCCCCAGGCTTTTCTGCTCTGGGGCTCTGTTTCTGTCGCACCCTGATGGACGTTCTCCAGACTATTTCCTGCTCCCCAGAAAAGCTCCTGGGAATCTGGAAGCCAGGACTGTGCTCTGATTCCCACTTTTTCCCTCTTGTCACCAACTGTTTGAAAAGGACTGGCATGATCATCCAGGTATTAAGAGTGCTTTAGGGCCCGGTATGGTAGCTTCCTGGTGAAAGTCCTCACCTTGCCCATTCCAGGATCCCACATGGAAGCTGGTTCTAATCCCAGCAGCCCCACTTCCCATCCCGTTTCCTGCTTGTGGCCTGGGAAAGCATTCAAGGACAGCCTAAAGCCTTGGGACCCTACATCTGTGTGGGAGACCTGGAAAAAGCTCTTATCTCTTGGTTTGGATCGGCGCAGCTCCAGCCATTGCAGTTTTTGGGGAGTGAATCATTGGAAGGAAGATCTTCCTCTCTGTCTCTCCTCCTCTCTGTATATCTGACTTTCCAATACAAATCAATGAATCTTTAAAAAAGTGTTTTAACCTTGATTCATCCTCTAAATATGACTTAAGGCTGATCCTGTCAGGGATGTGTTCTAGTCTAAACTCTGTGTCGTACCTATAATCATAGTCTGATACCTGATGTGCTTAAAAATATATAGCCTCTTGGGTCCTATTTCCACATCTGACCACAAATTTGATAATACTGCATACCTGAAGTCATATTGGAAACTGGCTCACAAAGGACTCATAGTTTCTTTTGTCCTTCTTGCCTGTCTGTAAATAATAGACCTACTTTGCATAGTCTATTGTGTGAATATGTTCCATCACACTGGGCACAGACAAGTAAAAATCAGTGTTGGTGAAACTAAGTAGTGCTCCAGATTGCAGTAGATTTAAGTATATTGAGCATATGTATTACTCTTATATAGGTATTTGCATATTTATTTTATCTAAAATGTTTTGATTCAGTGAATTAATAGAATTCATCATCTGGACCACTCTAAATCATACAATTGAGGTGTATTCCAAACACAATGTTGTACAGCCATCATCACTATTTTACTACAGAATATTTTCATCATTCCTAAAGGAAACTTAAAGCCCAGCAGGCAGTTTATACAATAATCCTTCCCAGCAGCACCTGGCATCTACTAACCTGCCATCTGTTCCTGTAAACTTGGGCCATTTCATATAAGCAGAATTGTAAACCTGCCATTGGTTTGCTAATTGCCAGTCCTAAGAGAGGACTCCCACTGCATGGAGAATGGCAGCAATCATCATTATAGCTACCTCCCAAAGCACAAAAGTCCATACCATTATGCTTATTGCATCCTGATGTTACAGTAGATCATTACTAAGACACAACTCCTGTCTTTAGGCCCTTACCTATCCCAATGGAATCACTCCATTATTCAATGTCTTATTGAACCTTGATAACCTTACTAAAAATAGGATTTTCAGAGTGGTCCATCCATGAATATTGAATGATGAAGCCAGATGATGAAATTCATGATCAGTATTTTTTCAGAAACCATATGCTCCTTGGAAACCCTTCCCTGCTTGCTAATTTACTCAACAGTTACAATCGAGGATAAGACAAACATCAGTAGTCCTGACACTTCTATGATTGGTTCAAATATGACAGCAGCCTTCACAGTTTCATTGCCTACCTCCAGTCAACCAACCCCTTATCTGAGAAAGGCAGAGCCCATTAAAACGAGTGGAGAAGTGTTGGGCAGAAGAATCATATAGAACAAAGAATGAATGTAGGTTCCTTAAGGACAGATACTAAAAACTCATGGTAAATTTCCAGGAGGCCCAAGGATAGTAGGATATCCAGGTACCAAGCAAAAGATGCTTATCTGTCACAGAAGAGGAACTGTGTTCAATTCCTAGCTCTTGCTGTTGACTATAGCTTCCCTCTGATGCAGACTCTGGACAGCAGAGGTAACAGTTTAAGACATTGATTCCTGTCAGCAACTCCAGAGAACTGTATTGTGTTTCTGGTCCCTACTTCAGGTCTGAAGTAGGCTTATTGATTGCAGGTATTTAGAAAGTGATCCACTACAGCATTCTTGTTCTCTTTTTCTCTTTTCTCTGCCTCTTAAATAATGATAGATAGATAGATAGACAACAGATATGCTCATTAAAAAAAATCCCAACTGAATCCACTAACCTCCTTTTTTTTATATTATAGTTTCATTTTCATTTGTTCCTGTTCTGTTGCTACACCTGTATACAGGATTTGATGTCCAAAAATCTTTCCTGACTTACCATGTTCTATTGATGCGCATTCATATTTCCCCACCATTCATTTGTACTTCTTACCTTAATCACCTCTTGCTTGTTTTGTAGATACTCCTTTAACTATCAGTGGAATTAAGATTTGGGACTCTGTATTTCTTCCTTCTGTATACAAACTCTGGGTTCAGTATCTCTTACCGATCATACAGGGAAATTTTCACTAGGGAGATACATCTTCAAAGGTTGTTAGAGCATCTTTGGCTTAAAGAGCTGTCAGTTGTGTACAAAAATGTAAGCTTATCTCTCCTATCATCAGTAAGATAGCATTCATTTAGCAGACAAACCTATATTTTATTTTGTTGAAGGTTTAAATTTGGTGTTAAATAGTTGGTGAAGGCATAGATGTTACAATGATCAACAAAAATTCTCTACAATGGGCAGAATATGGTCAGGAGGAAAAATGTTGCTAGTATTTGCAGTCAATAACTTTTGCCTTGTAAAAGGGTATAGATTTTTATTCTTTTCTGCTTAGGTATTTTCCTCTCTGAAATGCAGTATCAACTCATTGTTACTCCAAGTTCCAAGAAAATACATTTCTAGGCTTACTAACCAGCGAGAACTTGCTAAATAAAGGGCTCTCTCCACTCTGAAGGCTCAGTTTACGGTTATTTATTGGGTTCCTCCACCTCTTGGCAGACTCTGATGTTAGAAGTCCATGGGACACTAGAGACTGAAGAACACACAAGCTGAGCTATTGTATTTTGATGGGGTTTAGCAGATTTTTACTTGTTTTCAACAGTGTTAACCTGTATTGCATATTCACTCCACGTGCCCTTCCCTTTTAAAACATCAACCCCTCCACGTTTGACAGCAAAAAGGGAAGAATATATCTTTTCCCTATAAAGCTTTTCCAATTTATGAGAATGGAACAGAATTCATGTATGTCACATACACCATTTAAGAGCATAGATACTTCTTACCCTTCCTCCCTCCTTCACTTCCACCCTCTTTCATCTTTTTTACATGTTTCTTTTAATTTTTACAATGACATAGTTTCAAGCTTCTTTGTAATTTCAACCAGTCCTCCTCTAAATAGAGAATTTAACAAGTAGTAAGTAGAAAAAACACTGTACTGCAAGTGTATAGACAAGGGCTAGAAGCAATAATGAAATCTAAACACATCAATTTCACACACCAACATTTTTTCTTCAAGCATAATAAAAGGCATTTACATAAGCACACATTAAGCACAAATACAGAGAAAAGACTTCGTACATGTGCTTGGTGTTATTTGTAACAAATCACGCTGCTCACAAAGAGAATGTTTCCCCACTGAGAACTGTAGAGGAAATTCCCCCTGGGTTTTTACATTCTTTCCATTTCTCTTTCTGGCTCTCCCTCTTGGGAAGAGGTTGAAGCTGACCACTCTATACAGAACAACTTTCTTACAAGAAGCTTGAGTAGAGTCATTGGAGGTACCTGGGGCTGCCACTTCACTCCTTATGGAGACAATAGAGTATTAGTTTCCTCTGGTGCATCTGTATCACAATTCCTTGGTTGAGTTACTGACATCCCTGAAGAAGAACTGGGAACATTTTCATTCTGACCTGAAGTTGAGCAGATGGACATAGATGTGCCAACACCTTGCAGGCTAAAATAAGGATGGATGTTCCCATGGAAGTTGCCAGAAAAGGAATAGATATGGGATCCATCCATCATGTTGTAAAAGGATACATCCCCATTCTTCAAGTCCAAGAATATTCCTATCCTCTCAGGGTAATGTCTCAGTGGCAGAGATTCTGGCTTGGTGGTGAGAGCCATGACTATCCCTTCCTTGTATGCCAACACCCAGAAGTCCTTGTCTGTACTTTCTGCAAACCACCCCTTTCTCTCCACTGTTGCTGAGCAAATTCCCAAAGCCCATCTAGTTCCAGACTTCATTTCTGTCTCCTTATTTACTTCTACTTCCCAATAATATTTTCCTGTGGTAAAATAATCATGACCTAGAACACTGAATTTGGTTTCATAATCTTCTTCTTCCAAAGAAGCATGTCTTCCATTTTCAGATATCTTGAGTTTTGGATGAGCTGTTATTGGATCCAAGGAAACATCCGCTGCAGAGATGGAGAAAACAAAACAAAGGCAAAGATAAGGCAGTAGCTTGTTGGTCTTAAGAAAGATGGAAATACTACATAAGGACAAAGGATAAAAATAAGAAAAATAAACCCATAAGAACAGGCAAGTAACCTACACTTTATTCTAGGAGACCCACGATGTGTAAACCAAAGAAATTGAGTTGGATATGACCTTGTGTAACCATCTATTCCAGACAGCCCAAGACTATCTAGCCAGGGTGACTGTCTCTTGGCCTATTCAGAGTGTCAGGTGTTTTAGGATGGAGTCTTTGTACCCTTTTGTAAGGACTTGTTATTGTTTTGTTTTCCTTTTGTAGTTAAGTTTGTTACATTTCCAGTCACTGTGTGCTTGTTTACATTCAAAACTCCTCAGGATTATTTTTATGTGCATTTTATATAGCGAACAAATCATCTTTTTCCCACATGCTCTTATATCTCTTTATATTGGTGAAATACCAGGCTCTGTAGTTAAAGATCTGAACTTGTGTCATTTTTGAACCTATAGTAGTTGCAAACTTGGTGAGGTTACTTTGTTTATCTTAGCCTCATTTTAATCTCACGATGATGAACATAGTTATGATCAATCTTAGCATAAGGATATTGCGAGAAATACATGAGATAGTGTGTAAAGAATTGAATGCTACACATCAATTGAATTGAATGATGAGCAATCAGTAATTTTTAGCTTCTAGTATTACACTAACACCATCACCAGTAGCAATAGTAACAGTAGCACTAACACAAAAGTAATCAATCTACATCTTGTCCAAGGAAATAATCTCAAAAAGTGACGTTTCTGTCATGAAAATTTGTATATGGAAATTATGCTTGAATTTTTGGAGCATTAGCATAATTAGGACATATTTTGAGTGTGCAGGAATATTCAGAATGAGGCAGCATGCTGTAGAAGTGGATAACCCAAGATTCTGGAAAGACTAACCTGGTTAGTGGCTATTTCACACTATTCTGATTTAAAATGCTCCTTCCTGACTCATGCTAGTTATACAATATTCCTGCTTTCAACTGAAGCATTCTTCAAGTGTTATTCACATGAATAAATCCAATACTTTATCCAACTCTCAATTTAAGTATTCATTCCTTGGAGAAAATCACTTAACCCATGTTTCAATTTTTGAGAGATCATATCTGCTTATTTCTTTGGCAGCAAATAGTTGTATAAAGATGGTCCCTGATTTATGATGTATCTAGCAAACCCATTACTGATTGAAAATGTCAAGTTGAAAATAAACTTCATATACCTATTCTGCCTAAAGTGCTAGAATAGACAAAACTGTCATAAATGTACTCAGAATTCTTATGTTGGCTTACAGTTGGGCAGAATCACTTAACAAAGCCTATTTACAACAAAGTGACTTATTGATGAGATAATGGGAAGTAAAATAAAAATGCAATATCAACAAATGCTACAAACATGTCACAGTGTTGAATATCCAGTGCTTTATGCATGAGTGCTGTGCCAGGATGCATGTTTGGCAAAGCAGCTTAAGTAATCATGTGTGATGTGATGTCCCATTTTAGAGTGCCTGGTTCTAAATCAACTATGCTGCTTCCAGTCCAGGTTCCTGCTACAGTGATCTTAGGAGGCAGTACACGATGAATCAAATACTTTAGTTCCTGTAACCTATGTGAGAGATCTGGGTGGTGTTCTGTGTTCTTGGATCTTGCCTGGCCCAACCTCAGCTGTTACAGAATGGGAGAATGAATGAATTAACAAGTTAAAGTTTATTTTTCTCCCTCTGATCTCTCTGTCTCTCAATGTTTAGCTTTCAATGAAAAGGAAAATAAATAGAAAATATTTTTAATTGTATTGTAATAGATATTGATACTAACACAATCAAAATTATAATTTGAAGTTTACTTTCTACTAAATGTGTTTTGCATTTGTGTCATTGTAAAGTTGAAAGACAGTAAGTCATGAACTGTACATTTACACTGACAGGTTGAATAAACAGCCGCAGGACATTAAAGAACCCATTGAGATCAGATTGAAAGCCTTGAGGTGACTACAACGTTCAGATGCAAGCGCTTCCCACTTGTATACAAGAGGCTGATTGGGACCCAGTGGTAAGATCTCTTACCTGCTTCGAACTTCTCCTTTCTCCAGTCTGAAAAAGAAATAAATTCCACATTAAAACAGACCAAGCAAATATTTTGTGAGCTCAGGCACTCTCTTGCCACCCCCCCCCCATGCCATCTTTAAAACAAAGCCTCCAGAATAGTCTGTGTCTTTTAACAGTTGTCTGGTAATATCCCACAAGATCCTGGGGTAACTGAAGCCACAGACAACATCAGATTTACTTACCAGCATATAACTTTGCTTTCCTCCAGTCTGAAATAAAACATAATAATTAGATTCCCTCACTTAAGAGAATGAAACTTACTGTGACTTCATGAAATTTGAATGTTTATGAAACTACCATTTCTGTGGTGATTGTCTCTTAATGTTAGTTCTGATGGGTCTTTCCTAATAACCTACTTTCTGCTTTCCATCAATCTAATGGCCTTGTCCTTCATGGTGTATTGTTAATGCCTAAAACCATGCACTGCTCTGACATTCTTGCCATCATATTTACTAACAAGTCTCTCTGTATTCAACAGATTTGTTTCCTGTAGATATGAAAGCTGTCTGCCAGAATAAATTCCCAATCTGTCCAGTTGAAGTTCTTGTCATCTTAATATCCACATAGGAGACCTGGATGAAATCTGGGTTCCTGGCTTTGGCTTGGCTCAAACTGACTTGTGTGGTCATTGAAGAGTGAACCAAGGGATGAAATATCTTCATCACTATGTGTTTTTGTTTTTCTTTCTACGACTGCCTTTCAAATAAATAAATGATTTTTTTTTTTAAGAACAGACAGGCAGATGAGATGATTGGCCTAGCCACAACATGAGTGGAACTCACCGAGTAGATACAAATTCTTCCTTCTCTCTGCAAAGAAATAATAACCTGTGAGATGCCAAGATTCAGAATGGAGGCAGGACTCTAATTTCTCCATGGGGCTAAGAAAAGAGAGAACTTACCAAGTTCTTTCTTGATCACTTCTGAAAAGGAAAAAACAAAATAACACAATAGATTTTACATAAGAAATATCTAAAGTCTTTTTTTCTAGTTTATACTAATATTTCTAAATTACCAGGTTCACAAATTTTTCTTAACTTTGAATTCTTATGATTAGGTTCTGCACCCCAACTTCATGTTTATATCAGTGAATAGCAAAGTCAATATATTGTATTTTTCTCAAAGTGTCCTGGGATCCATACTTTGCTGGGGTCTTCGGTTCTTATGCTGTCTTGTTTACATCTGTATATGTCAGTAGATGCCAAACTATACTGAGTGAATCTAACAAACCAACAGATCCACAACACCACACCATATCATTCATGATGTACCTTTTTCAGTAACTTCTTTCTGTTTTGCATCCCTGACCTTCTTTGATTTCTTCTTTTCTTGCTTTTCTCTCCAAGCAAAAAAGACAGCAGCACTCAGGCAAACCACAAGCATGAGGAAAGTCACAACAAATGCTGCCTTCCAAGGCGAGGTCCTAGGGAAGAAGGGCTCTGACACAGAGCCCTCACGCATGAGCAGAAAGCAGGCAGCAGACAAGCTCTTCCAACCCACATCCCAACACTCCCTCCTTGCTCACACCCTGTCCCCAGGGAAGCGACCCTTTACCTGGGATAGAAATTGTGTCCGTCTGCTCCTGTAGAAGGAAGGAATTCTTCATGGAGCAGGACACTTTTCCCTTTGTTCTGTCTCTCAAAATGAGGAATGCATCCATCTGGAACAAGCCATCGTCGTCTTGGGTCTCCTGCTCAGACAGAGATGGGATCTTCTCTCCGTTCTCATCCTTCCATTGTACTTCAGGCTGGGGAAACCAACCCTTGCCAGTGCACGACAGCTTTATGCCTTCATCTTCTGGACCCACCATGATGATGCGAGGACCAGAACCAAGACCTGGGTGGTAGTGGGAGGAGGGTCATTCATGTGAAACCTTGATGCTTTTTGTTTAGAAATCGCTAAATCACACAATAACCCTAATGTGAGCAGATGGATGAAGTGCCACAGCCTTAGGTGGAGGGAGAGGACTTCCTGACAGAAATCAGTATCTGGTTCAAAAATCACAGCTTACTTGAGGCTCCAGCGCATTAACCTAGCGGTTAACGTTCTGATCTTGAACACTCTGGGATCCCATATGGGCACTGGTTCTAATCCCAGCAGTCCTGCTTCCCACTCTGTTCTCTGCCTGTGGCCTGGGGAAACCTTCAAGAACGGCCAAAGCCTGAGACCCTGCACCAATGTGGGAGACCTGGAAGAAGCTCCTGGCTCCTGACTTTGGATCAACTCAGTTTCAGCCGTTGTGGCCACTTGGGGAGTGAATCATTGGACAGAAGATATTCCTCTGTGTCTCTCCTCCTCTCTGCATACATGCCTTTTCAATAAAAATAACAAAATCTTTAGAAAAAAATCACGGCAGATTTGAAGTTGTCACTAATACTGATAGGCCTGCCACAAACTTGTACCCATGTGTATCTGCAATAAGGCCACAAAAGGATAATAGCGAAGAAGTCAACCAATATTCGTCAGTGTTGAGCTCTACACCTTCCCTGTATTTCCATATCTTTATTTGTACTTTTTTATTCCATTCATTAACATCTCAAGGAAAACCAAAAAGATTTCCTTAAACAATCCCCTTTGGGACTTTTTTCTCAAAATTTTATTTCTTTCCCTGGGTAGATATTATCATTGAATGGGGCCAGAGAAGCAGGTCTCTGAAGGATTAAAATTGCTTCTCATTTTTTCCCCTTACTTCTTCCTGTGTCCAGCACATCACTTTCTCTTCAGCTCCTGTCATGTGGAGTTTACAAATGGACTCAACATAGCATGATTAGATACTAGAATAACCCATTATGTCTTCCAGAAAGTGACTATTTTGATTTCCAAGATTATATATTAGCTCAGTTCTCCTACAGATTTCTCCTGTGGGAAATGCATTAAGAACTTTAGCTACATTATTTTATTGGCACTAAAAATTACAAAACAGCTAATGTTTATCGTCTGATCTTGATTCCCTAGGGGGTACAGGCTTCAAGGAATCTAAATAATCCGAGAAATAGTCCATCTTATAACCGCCCAAGGGAGCTGCCGACTCCATCAACCAAAGAAGTGAAGATTTGAATGAAACTGATTCTGAGAGCACACTGGGAAGTAAGAGCGTATAGAAGAAACAGACTTTGAGCCTCCTGGAAGAATATAACTGTTGAAGTTCCAAGACCAAGAAGACAAAAGCTACACATGTGTTGGTAAAGGTTGTGATTCCTGAGCACAAAAGTGGCCACGCCAAATAGACAAAGGTTAGCAGAATGGAAGATAAGCATGGGTATCTCATTAACCAACTGTTTCTAAAGGTCAGAGTTACACCCCATTAAACGGCAAACTTATATGAGAGAGGTATTGAAAAACCATGCCTGCCAATAGACTAGTTCTGAGTATGTGAAATCTTTGTCTTCTCATTGAGGAAATTCTGAGGCAGAGTAATGAGATTTTGTTTCTGATTTTTCTTTTTTTTTTTTCCAGCAAAGAAATGATTTAGTTTCTTCTTATCCAAATTGCACAAAAAGAAGATGTATAGGGCCTGACACGATGGCTAAATTGGCCAATCTTCCCTTTCCAGGACCAGGATCTCATATGGATACTGGTTTGTGTCCTAGCTGCTCCACATCTGATCCAGCAGCTTGCCTATGGTCTGGGAAAGCAGTAGAGGATTGCTCAAGGCCTTGAGAACCTGCACTCATGGAGAAGATCTGGAACAGGCTCCAGACTCCTGGCTTTGGATTGGCTCAGCTCTAGAGGTTGCAGCCATTTAGGGAGAATGAACCATTCGGCTGAGAATCTCTCTCTTTCATTCTCTTTGTATATCTGTCTTCCCAATAAAAAGAAATAACTCTTTATAAAGAATAAAAGATTGATAGCATGAGCCTACTACAGATACCATTTCAGATAGCATCAATTGAGAATTACTATTTTAACATAGGTGTAATACAGTCAAAGAAAAATAAATACATCATATAAAAAAATTAGGACCTGGCATGATAGCATAGCAGTTCAAGTCCTTGCCTTGATTGTGCCTTGATCCCACCCAGGTGCCGGTTCTAATCCTGGCAACTCCACTTCCCATCCAGCTCTGTGCCTGTAGCCTGGGAAAGCAGTTGAGGACTGCCCAAAGCCTTGAGACCCTGCACCCACATGGGAGAATAGGAAGAGGCTCCTGACTTAGGATTGGCTCAGCTCCAGCACTTGCAGCAGCTTGGGGAGTGAACCAATCGATGGAAGATCTTCCTCTCTGTCTCTCCTCCTCTCTGTGTATCTGCCTTTCCAATAAAAATAAACAAATCTTTAAAAAAATAGTATGTTGTGTTAGCAGAGAGTCATTGTGGTATGTATACACAATGGAATATTACTCAGCTGTATAAGAATAAAATCCCGTCTTTTGCAACAAAATGAATGTAATTTGAAAACATGATTAGTAAAATAAGCCAGTCCCCAAAAGTCAAATATCATATATTCCCTGCTTTGTGGTAATTAATATACAGAGTTAAAAAAATTAGAGTACATGAACAAAACTGACATTTTGAGATTTGATTATTGTTCCTGGTGCTTGTCTATACTGTTGAGGGAGAGTGGTTTTCTACTTAGTTATTCTTGATTTCTTTATTTAGTGGAGGGTTAACCTTGTGGTTATAAAGTAAATTGAAAGTATGTTATTATAAAAATTAAAATAAGAAAGGAAAGAGGAGAAAGGATAGAATTGAGGGAGTTTCTGTTGGGAAGTGTCAACCTGCTCCTAAGACTGAAATTTTTGTTCCTATTACATAAATAAAAATTTTTTTAAAATACAAAATTTAAAAAGTTGAGACAGCATAGTATTATAAAAAGGTAGTAGATAAATCATTATAGTTACATAGAACTTGGATTTTTCTGATATCTTCACTAGTAGTTAATGGAAAAATAATGGTTGATATTTCTCAAGATAATCAGAACTGACAGTGAAAATACATTGGAAACTATTTTGGCCATTGCATGAAACTTTACACCCAATAATATTTCTGTAGGCTGAAGTTCTCAAAGTTTGCAAGAAAAGTCAACTTTAAAAAGGCAGAGGGGGAGTCATGTCAGTGAGCCCTGGAGGCAGCCCTGCAGGACTCAGGACCTGGACTGGGACTGGGTGGCTGTAGGCACTGGTGCGAAGTCCATGGGCCTCCCAGCGGCACACTCATGGGGGCTTGGAGGTGGGGAAGTGGGTAAATAGATGTGTGGGAGGGAAGATCACTGAGGGAGTAAGGTGCAGGTAAGGAATGACTACTGAGGGACTTCATCAACAAGATCATTGTGCCTGCAGGTAAGTGAGGGATCTGAGATGAGCAATTTGGAGGGAAAACTAGAGGACCTCTAAGGTTCAGTCCATGTGGGAGACCTGAGTTGGGCAACTTAGCATTGAACATCACTGAATACCACTCACTGGTGCACAATAAAGCTAGGGCTGGGGCCTACATGGCAAGGCTAACTCACAGTACCTGCCAGTGAGAGTCACAACAGGGGATGGGTAATGTTAGGCTGGACTATTATACTAATCAGTATACAACAAAATCGGGTCTGGGGGCAGTTTCTTTGACTGGAACTATGGTACTGTATATTTTGCTGGTTTGCTTAAGAGCTGGGGTGTGGTGATGGGCTGAGCTAGTTATGACCAAGCAACCTCTTGACACTCATGAGTACTGGGGTTGGGTACAAGCAGGGCTGGTCTAGGCTGTAGCACCTGCAGACACATCCCAAAATAGGGTGTGGGATAGCCTGGGATGTAACATCTGCCAGTTTGTACATAGTCTTGGATGGAGAGGGGCAGACAATGTGGGGTAAGGGCCTAGTATCTGCTGATCTATGTGAGATCTAAGGTTTGGGAGTGGGCCTTGTTTGGGAACTTGGGAAACTCCTCTGGTGGGCCATAGTTCCTGCTGGTGAACACGTGATTCAGGTGTGGGTGTTGTTCAGACTGGGCAAGGTAGTTCCACCTGTTGACAAGTGTGTTGGTTTTGGAACGGGGCAGATTGGGCAGGGTTGTGCTTAGCAAACCTTAGCACACTGACATATGCAGGAATGAGGCTAGAGTGTGGGTCATGCCAGGCTAGGCTATCACACCTACTGGTTTGCATGACCCAGAGATGGAAGCAGACAGGACAGGGTTAAGCTATAGCACCTATCAGTATTAGCTGAAATTTGGCACAGACTGGCCTGGGCCAAGTTACAGCATCTGTCAGAAAATGCCAACATTCCCAGCCTGCCAGGTTGGGACACAGCATGCACCAGTACACGTGAGACCTGACAGGAAGAGTGTGAGCCTGTTAGGAGGCAACATGGGCTCCCATGCTGGGCCACTGCTCCCACTGCTGAGTGTGAGAACTGGTGCTAGGAACAGACAAGCCCTGGTAGGGATATAACATCTGCTGGTATGCATGTGAACAAGGTTAGGTGAACAGCCAGGTTGGGCTAACAACTATATTCACTGCTACAGCATAAGTCAGAGTAAGAGCAGGCTGGTTGGGTTTTGCCACAGCATTAGCTGACAAGTGCGAGGACTGGAGGTACATTCTATCTTGCTAGACTGCAGAACCACCTGGAGAGTGCAAGGTCTATGAGAGGGAGTGAGCCCAGTGGGGAAACTGTGGGTACCTCTGATGGGTTTCAACTCCCACTGGTGAGCATGAGAACCAGGGCTGGGGACTTGGCTAGATAGACGATTGCACCCACCAGCATGAGTGTGGACTGAATAGGGGGGTTGGCTGGGTTGAACTAGGTTCCATGCTCATTGGTATGTATGAGAGCTGAATGGGATGTAGGACAGACTGAACCAGTCTGTTGCACAGATTGGCAAGCACAGGAACCAGGGCTGGAGGTGGGTCTGGTAGGGGTTACTCTGACTTGGCTATATTCCTGCTGGTATATGGGAGGGCAGAATATGCAGTATGTTGGTTTGGTCTGGGCAGCAACATCCTTTGGTTTGAATAAGAGATGGGGCTAAAGACAGAACTGAGTCAGCAATTGCAATTGCCACTATATAAACAGGCAGATGCGGGAGACTTCTGTCTCTCACTATCTGCAATTTATTATCATTTTTAACATATTTTCAAATGAATCACAAAACTAATCTTTGACATTAAAACTCAGACTGTTTGTTACACTGAGGAAGCAGTGACTGAGTATTGGATTTTTTTGGATTGTAATTACATGCTCCATTTTTGATATGGGAGTTGTTTAACAAACTTACAAAAATTATGCAGTAAGACATTTAAAGTAAAATTAAAATTTCAGAATATTTTACAGGAACAGCACTAGAATACAGGAAGATGAAATATTTTATGGCACTGGTATAAAAGGATTTCATAAATATTGAGGATTAAAACAAATGCTAATAGTTTTCTCTATATGTTTTAAAATTCACACAAGTAAAATATAATATAAAATTGTAAGATAAATAAAGAGGATATTTCCAAGATTGATATGATTAAAAATAACTATAATGTATCAAAAATCTTTTTGGAAAGCAGTCCCCTTGCGCCTCCTCAAACAGTTGATTAAAGGACACAAGCAGCAAAATGAAAAAAGAAAAATGCAAATAATTAATATGTGAAAACATATTAATATCTGTTGTGAATATGAACTGAAAATAATAGAATATGGTTTTTAACCCATTTGGCCAGAAAAATATAAAAAATATAATATTCAGTGTTGTTAAGAGAATGAAAAGAGCCAGTGTTATGTTAAATGCCTGTCTGCTCAATTTTGGATCCAGTTCCCTGCTAACGTCCTTGGAAAAGCAGTAGAGGATGGCTCAAGTGCTTGGGCCCCCGTACCCATGTGGGAGACCAGGAAGGAGTAATAGGCTCCTGGCTTTGGCCATCCTGACTGCTTTGTGAACATCAGAGGAGTGAATGAGCAGGTGGAATCTCTCTCTCTCTATCCCTTCCCCCCAACTCTGCCTTTCAGATAAATAAATGAATCTTTTCCAAAAAAGAGTGTGAAAAATGTTTGTCAAATGCTGCTATTAGGAATAAAAAGTGGAGCAACTGTTGAACTATGTATATACTTAAAATTTTATGATTATTTTAAATTGCCACCTCCCAGTATTGGCAGGAAGCTATGCTAGAAGCAGAGGCAGGATTTGATCCCACCACTTTCAAGTGGGATATGGATGTCCCAAATGGCAGTTTACACTATTACACATAAGGCCATTCCTTGAAGTGGCTCAGTTTTAAGACAGAGACGTTAAATATATTAACAGATGAAGAGTTATTTGTATTTGCAGATAATTACTTACTTATGACCTTGAGCTCCAAAGTGGCTTCACCAAAGTTGTCATTCTGTTTAAAGAAACACCTGTACATCCCATTGTCTGAGACCCGCAGATTGTGGATCCTCACAGCCACTCTCCCCTCTGAGATGTAATCCTTCAGCAGCTCTACTCGTCCTTTGTAATCCACTAGCTGCTCTGCTGCCTGCTCCATCCCATCCTGATACACGTACACAGCCTCCAAGTACTGGGAGCGGAACCACCTCAGCTCCACGTTCTTCATATCCACGGTTGCGGTCACATAACAGGGCAGTACGGCTTCTGTGCCCAGCATAGCCACAATGGGCTCTGAGGGGCCACTCACTTCAAACGAATCTGTGCAATGAACAGAGTTAAACGTGGAAAGAACATTAGAACATCAGAACATCAGGAGTGCCAGGGAGGACGCTTTAGAACACAGTTCCAGGTAGAGCCCAACAGCCCTCATTCAACAGGTGTTCACAGCACACATTGAGGCTGCAGGTGTGGTGCGGAGCAATGTAAAAAGGGCTCTGCTTGCGAGGAGCTTACAAACACCAGGACAGTCTCAAGTGAAGCGAGTGGTTTTCAACTTGTAGTGGTTGTAGAAAATGATCAAACTAGAACTTCAGGAAAATTCATAAAACATGGAGTTGAAAGCAGAATAAACTACATTGTATAAATGAACTAATTCTTCCTGGTTCTTCTGCCTCAAATAATTGTATCATGGTTTATTTGCCCTAATGCACAAGTGAATAACTCACTCTACTCAAGTAGAGGATTTTAGAATTAACCCAAGTTTATATGAGAAGTGATGAAGTGATTCAATTCTTCTATTCAGAAAACAAGATGATTTAGTTATGAAACAGTTGAGATATTCTCACCTGAGCCCCACATGGGCACCTGGAGCAGCAGAATCGGGAAGAGTGCTCTGGGCAGGGAGTGCACCATGGTTCCCAGTCCAGGGAGCAGGGTGATATGGAAGCGGGTCCTGTAAATAACTGGAGTAAAGATAAGAGTGGGATTCACCGGGTCTAAGTATTGTGGCTAAGGTGGTCTCAATGCCTCTAAGAAATGGTCTCCTAGATCTCAGACAGCTTTCAGAAAATAAGACTAAGTCTTTGACATACACAAAGTGTTTTCTATTTCTCTTATTAGGGAAACAGTCCTCACACCAGTAGCCACCCAGCAAACTCTTTTTTTAGACAAGAACATTTTGTTCTTTGGATAAAGAGAGAGAGACAAGAGCACCTTGGAGGGAAATGGCTTTAGCACAGACGTTACTCTGGGCTCTATGGACTGTCTTCCCACTCATCCATACATGGTGATGAAACAGCTAGAACTCGACTTTCCCTCCATCACCCACCATGATCCTATCCAGGTTTTCTCTCTCCTCTCATTCTTGCCCATCACCCAGAAAGGAATTTGAGAGGAATCCTGCAGCACTCACATTGTTGAGGTTCCTCTTGGAGAGATGGAGGCGTACTGGAACTTGTCCTCTTCACTACCTCCGGCACTGGGCAGAGCTGCTCGCTGGCATTCCTCCCTCATTCCTTCTTGGGGTGCTCATGGGGTTCTCCTGTGCTTCCTGCTCTAAGCTGTTATGGGGAACTGGGGGCTACAGGGGGATCTTTCAGAATTCAAAAACAGGAAGCAAGAAATCTCCCATACAGAGCACTTACAGCAGTGAGCTTCTCTTGGCCGCCCTGCCATACTCAAAAATGAAAGTCAAGTAAAGCAAGAGAAGAGGACTTTGACCTGGCATGGGTCACAGACCTTTTATGATCATGTACTTAGGAAATATCGGAAGGTTCAAGAACAAGTTATTTCTTTCTCCCAGAGAAATATTGTGTGATTCAAGTGAACAACACTGATAGTAGACCTTGAATATGCCAGTCACAGTCCTGCTGAGGGAATTTACAAGGTTGTGATGTGGGGCAAGGTATACAACCTTTTTGTGCCTATGGTTTCTCATCCAACTACCCTGAAACTTTCATGTGATGGTTAAGTGAATTAACATGTAAAGCATTAGAAGAGGTCAGTAACATGTGTTTGTTTGTTTATTAGATGAATGTGATTTTGTACATTTTGTAGAGTATAGTGTTATTACACAAATGTATGGTATGAACTGACCAGATCAGATAGTTCACATTTGTATTTTGTTATCTTTTATAAGTTATTTTATTAATGTAAAGTGAGTAAATTTTATATATCTTTCAGTACAGATTTAGGAGGACAGTATACTTCCCACCTCACTCTCCCTCCTCCTCCTTCTTAATTATTATAATTATTTTTATTAGCATTTTAATTTTTTCAATGGAATACTTTGATTTCACTTCACAAACACAGGTTTAACACTCCAAATATTTCAATACATAGCAAATAGAAAAAAAAGCTGTACTATACTATTGTATAGAAAACATTGAGATTTCAGTATGTCAGTCTCATATAGATCATATATATATATACATATATATAAAACTTTTATTGGAAAGTCAGATATACAAAGAGGAGGAGAGATTGAGAGGAAGACCCAATGGTTCACTCCTCAAGCAGCCACAACAGCCAGAACTGAACCAATCTGAAGCCAGGAGCCAGGAGCCTCTTTTTGGTCTCCCATGTGTGTGCAGAGTCCCAAGCACTTGGGCTATCCTTGACTGCTTTCCCAAGACAAAAGCAGAGAGCTAGATGGGAAGCAGGGCTGCCAGTGTTAGATCTGGCGCCTGTATGGGATCCCAGTATGTACAAAACGAGGACTTTAAGCACTAGTCCACCGCACTGGGTCCAGATTACATCTTTTTGATACTCTGTGTAATAGTTACCACATATCAGGGAAAGCATGTGAATGTAACTGAAAGCACAATGGTTTCCAGTTATGTCAATTTTGTTGCAGAAGACAAGATTTTATTTTCTTTATGACTGAGTATATTTTCTTTATGTTTGGTGGTTGTGAGCTCCTCTCTGTTTTTCATGTGGTACATAATCCACTACTGAGAACACAGTTGTCCTAATGTGCTATAGCATAGACAGCTGATTCTTTATAATAGCTCTTTAATAATGTTTTAGTAAAAATAACAGATTTTCTGTATTTCAGATACAATTGTAAGAAAATAACCATACTTCGGTCTCTCTCTTCCTCCCTCCTTCAATACTTTCTGTTTCCTTTATTTTTTTTAATATTTATTTTATTTTTATTGGAAAGTCAGATATACAGAGAGCAGGAGGAAAAAAGAGGATGATCTTCCATCTGATGATTGACTCCTCAATTGGCTGAAATGGCTGGAGCTGAGCTGATCTGAAGCCAGGAGCCTGAAGTCTCTTTTGGGTCTCCCAAGCACGTGTAGTGTCACCAGGCTTTGGGCCATCCTCGACTGTTTTCCCAGCTACGAGCAGGGAGCTGGATGGGAAGCAGGGCCACCTAGATTAGGCTGGCACCCATATGGGATCCTGGTGTATTCAAGGTGAGGACTTTAGCTACTAGGTTACCACACCGGGCCCTGTATTCTTTATTTCTAATTCTATGTATTGATACCAGTTACCAAACATCAACATTTCTTTTTTTTAATGATTTTTTTTAATTGAAAAGGCAGATTTATAGAGAAAAGGAGAAGCAAAGAGAAAAATTTTTCATCTGCTGGTCCACTCTCCCCAAATGGCTGCCAATGGCTGGAGCTGAGCCAATCTGAAGCCAGGAGCCAGGAGCCTCTTCCAGGTCTTCCACACAGGTGCAGGATTCCAAGGCTTTTATAAAGGAGTCTGGCATGTGCAACATGAGGATTTAGCCACTAAAGCATTATGTTGGGGCCATTTACCCCTCTTTCTCCTCCTGTCACCCTTTCTGGCTTATATTAACCAGTGTTCTAAATTCAGATAAAGTTAAAATTTCCATATGTGAGGTAGAACATATGATAATTGTTTTCCTGTGTCTGATTTATTATGCTTAATGTAATAACCAAAAATTTTACCCATTTTGCCCCAATGTCAGGTTTTTTTAAATTATTCATGACCAAATCTTGTTTTAATATGTATTTATACCACATTTTCTTTACTATGCATCCACTGAGAGACATTTAGGTACATTCTGTTTCTTAGCTGTTATGACCGGTGATGTGACCAATGGGCAAGTGTAAGAATATCTTTAATATGCTGACTTAACTTCTTTGGCATGTATTCCCAAAAGTGATAAAGCAGGTCATATGGTAGGTCTACTTTTGTTTTTCTCATGAACCTTCTTATGATTTTCCACAACAGCTGCATTAATTCATGTTCTTCTCAACACTGTAACAGAGGGAGTCCATCAGATGATGAATGGATACAGAAAATGCGTTTTATGTAGAGTGAAGTGTTATTCAGTCATGTATGAAGGCTGTCTGACCATTTGTGATACAAGGAATCAGAGGACATTACATGAAGTGAAATAAGCCTGGCACAGGCTGACAGTATTGAATGGTCTCATTCATATGCCTTCTGAGATACACAACATGATGGTGGAGTTTCAACAACATTTTGTTTAGTCAGAGGATCCAAACCTCAAAGCATAAATTTTACATAGGTATGATTCCTTTTCTTGTTATTTATCAAGTTTGAGAACAGGCATGATTTTACTATCACAATTTTTATGATGATACTGTTGAACATTTTTTGATTGGCTTAACATACAATGGAAGTGATAAAAATTTTTTAGCATTACACATGTTTTATATTTTGATCAAGGTGGTGTTTTATTAGTATAAGAATTTGTGGTGTCCTTTGAAATATTTGCAAAAACCATGCATTCTACTCTGTGGGGAGCCATGCAGTTGGGTCGGATGGCATGGGTGTGTGATGAGCACCGCTCCTCAGTTAGCAAGGCTGCGAGGAGTTTCTGGCTGCGTGGCAAGGCCCGGCAGAATGTCTCTGGTCACCTCATTGTTGCCTCACCCATTGTATTAAACTCGATCACCTCTCTGATGTTTCATAGAATTCTTTTGAGGGTATCGTTGTTGCTTTTTTTTTTTTTGTTGTTAATGTGAAGTGATTCCTGTAACTGGTATGACACCTCAAATTGATCAATCATGTTATGATAAAAATACCTTTATTAATGCAAGGCTATGACACACAGTTAAAAGTATACAATAGTACAATTGAGCCCACTATGTTTCCAAACATCCTGTTATGTGCCCACTTTTGTTCTGAAGTTTGCCCTAGTGTAAGTAATGTTTTCCTTAAGAAATGGCTTGATAATATCTTGCAACAGATGGTGATTATGGAGGTACAAAGAGTTTGTTTACCATACACCTCGATCTGTTACAACACATGATATGACGCATTTTAGTTTCTTACCACAGAAAGCAAAAGTAAATGGGGCATCTTTTATAAGGAAATAGATGTGTGAACCCCCTCAAAATGGCTTAAAATCTCAATCTTATATTGGCACTTATATTTAGGGAAAGAAAACAGTTTATAAAGATAGAAGAAAGTTTCTTGTAAAATCCCTCTGTTCGTAGATTAGCTGAATTGCCTTGATCCTTTTCACTGCCCTTTAAGAAAAGAATGAAAAACAATTGAATCAGCACTAGGTGAAGGTGACGGTAATTAATGCATGATTTGATTATAAGATTTAGCAAAGAATCTATGTTACATGCTTTTATAATATCCTTTCATTTGTGATCTTTTAATTCTGTATTCTTAATATTTCAAGTAATATTAGTTTGTGTTTAGTAAAAATTGATTTTGAGTTTAAGTAAACCACTTGTCACTATGTAACCACATGCGTTGCCAACCATGGAGTTCCTGGCTTCAGCCAGGTGATTGCAGGTTTCAATGGGTAATGGTTTGTTGAAAATATTTTCCTTAGGATTGTTTTTTGTATTCTCTTAACCATGAAGTAAAAATGAAAGCTTGTGATGATCTGTGTATAAATAAAGAAGGCAACTTTTCTGAGTTGTCCATTATGAGCATCAAGCCATAGTGGTCCGTGTCTTATCTCTTCCTATCATCCTTTGCAAACTCTCAGTCAGCTGGAGCTGGGCTCCAGCACTATTCTGTGCAAATTACCCATCAATTGATTTTATTTCTAAAACACTGCATACCTCTAACTGGCTATGGAGAACACTCATTTAGGATCTTAGCATCTCTTTGGTCAGACTGTCAGCAGATCATTCCTACTATTTATACAATTGATTTTTGGGTCCCTGAACACCTGTAAATATTACGTGACAAGAGGAAACTTTAACTGAGCTTAGAAAGAAAGAAAGTGTAATGGAAAGCCAGTTCTTTCTGAACATGTTCTGCATCTGACACAATCACTTTTTCTATTTTACCATTGGAAGCCGTAAAATCTATTGAGCAAAGGACCCTCCATTTCTAGCTCTGGTTTTTCTCTGCATATCTCTACATTTCACCTCTTCTGTGCATTACAGTATGGAAGGAAGAAGTTATGTCTCTTGCGGTTTTATTCTCTGAGTAAATTAGTGATTTGAACATTCCAATGTTTCAAAGATCTGAACATCATGCAGATAGATGCTTTCTTCACCCTGAGTAATGTGGTTTCAGTCCTCTGTGAGTGAGAAAAGAGCCCTACATTTTCAACAAGGGCACACATCCTGCTTCTTACTCTGTGGCCCAGCCCAGTTCAAAGTATCCTGGGGGTGGCCTTTGTTACTTTCTCTTTTAAAGTAACTGAAGAGTTGAGCAAGAAGCTGGCTGTGATTATCTTCTTAGTCTCATTTCTGGGAGAGACATTAAAAAAACCCACCTGTCTGGGCAGCAAGGTGCATCTATTTTATCAAGAATATCTTCCCAATTTAATGATGAGTTAAAAACCTGTCAGCCCCTGACTGTGCAGCCATATCCTTGGAATGTTGAACACCAGGACCACCAGATGCAACCGTTTAAAGAGTCAGGCTTGTTGCTGTACTGAGGAGACCAGAAGCTTCAAGAAATCTACCAGGTCCATCCAATCGGTGACGTCCAGGTGGGTCTGTGGTAGGGAAGGACACTGGCAAACAGGGGATCAAGTTATGGGCCATATGGAGAAAAGAAGGTGACCTACGGGATTATTTATGGTAAATACATAAAGGCAAATATTCTGAAGAAGCGTTGGCTGAGGGGAGTAGTCTCGTTCTGTGTCTGACTTCACTTATTCAGCATTGACTTGGGGTTTTCAGTTCCAAGAGAGCAGTGATGAGAAGGCAACACCATGGGAAAGCAAGACAGACACCAGAGTAAAAGACAAGACTTCATTGTTGGGCACCTAATGGGGATACGGTTGGTCTTCAGAAGGAAAGAGGGAAGGAAGAAGGAAAACTCAGTGAATAGGGTCCAGAAGTTTGTCTGTAAGCGAAAAAGCCTAAAGAAAAGTAATTATGAACTTATGTCTTTGAGCAGATTCTTTTTCTAAGAACTCCCACTTTGCTGGCCATCTTACCATCTGCTACACAGTAGTTCAGTGTTAAGGTGAATATTTCCCTCTGCTTTGATGAAGATGCGTCTTCCGGGCCTGCCTCCGACTAGCTTTGTGCCCCCTTCTCTCCTTCTCCAGCTGTTCATGTGGTGTTCCGCAGGTCAGTGTTGTGCCTCACACTTTCCAATTACTGACTTACTCTCATAGATTCCTCTTGCATAAATGGAAGTGGTAGGTCATGTGTCAGCCATGCGTCCTTACTCCTTGGGGTAGATGTTATAACATTTATAGTTGTGATATTGATTGACATTGTCAATGAGTATCGGTGGTTTTAGCCTATTTGAGCTTTGATCTGTTTGTGAAAAATTGCTTTATGCTTTTTACTCTGCCCAGGAAAGTCTGGCATAAACAAGTTTAGATTCAAAATTTCTGGGTTCTGACTGATTATGCTCTTCTACAGATCTTTAGTCTGTCTGTAACATGACTCTCCCATTCATAAAATAAAAAGTCTCCTTGGGATGAAACTTCACGTAAGTGGTTTGGAGATATAAGATCACAGGGATGTTACTTTTTTTTTTCCCTTATATCTCCTTATTTTGATGTGCTAGGTGAGGAGTACCAAAAATTTTGATGTTCGAGCATGTTAACTCAAAGATTTTGTAAAAATTGTGCTATAGAAAAATAACCTTTCTATGTGATCTGGTACCATTTGTAGTAATAGAAGCAAGTTAAATATTCACCCACTTAGGAAAATGAACATGGTGGTGCTGACAGTGAAAAACAGGTTCAGCAGGCTACAAGTCCTAAGATGGTTGTATGTCTATTGTTGGAGATGTTGATGTATAATGATTACAAGAATGTGACACACTGACCTTTTCTACAATGTTATGGCTCATTTAACATCAAATGTCCTTTTTTTACATTAAACTCCTCATGTATTATGCATTATCAGGACCCCAGCATCAGATAACTAAAGACATGTGTCTCCTGTTTCAGCAGTACCTGGTGTTTTATGCAGGAATGTAGTAGAACGAAACCACTGCCTCAGTCCAGCACAATGACTACTTTCATTCTTGCTCAGACTGTCTGATCCACACCCTCAGCTGGTCAGGGCCATTTTCTCCAAGCTCATATGCCCTTGCTTTTGTGTTCAGTCCTTCTGGACACCCACAGAGCCATCCTGTTCTGAACTGATCCCAACCCAGAACCATCACACCTGCGCAGCCTGAGCACCACTGTGTCCCATGCTTCTACAGTATAAGGTGTTCTTCCTTCTAATTCACATCCTGGCAATAGGTAATGGTTGAACCGACATGGGAGACCGGGATTGAGTTTTAGGCTCAAGGCTTCTATCTGGCCCAGGACCACCTGTTGATGGTGTTTGAGGAGTAAATCATCAGACTGATGATTTTCTTACTCTGTCTCTTTTTCAAATTCAAGGCAAGTAAATAGGCACTTAAATTTTTTTAAGAATGATTTATTTGTTTTTATTGAAAAGGCAGATTTACAGATTTACATTCAGAGAAAGGTTCACCCCCCAAGTTGCTGCAACAGCTGGAGCTGTGCTGATCCAAATCCAGGAGCCTAGAGCTTCCTTCCTGGTCTCCCACATGTGTACAGGGTCCCAAGGCCCTGGGCCATCCTCTACTGCTTTCCTAGGTCACAAGCTGGGAGCTACATGGGAAGTGGAGCAGGCAGTACACAAACCGATGTCCATATGGGATTCTGATGTTTGACGGGTTGGATTATCCAAATGTGCTATGGCACAAGGCCCAAGGTTTCTCTTTTGTAATTAAAAATTTTCATTGAATAGTTCAGTTGACTTGATGAAGGAGCATATATTACAGCACAGACAAAATTCTCATTTTCACTGTAGCTCTTTCCTTCAACTTTATTGGGAGCTGTCAGACTCTTAACCTGTTGAGCCACAGCCTCCATATCCTCCACCTCTTTCACTAAAATGATTTTCATGTGAAAAACCCCTGGGCCTTCACAGTTACTTGAAAGCCAAATAAAAAGACTCATGTTCCCTTAAAATTCCACTTTTACCTGTGGGATAAAACCCTGTCAAATCTCCCTAAATGTCAAGGTCAGAAGCATTTCATGTCTACTCTCCAAGACAGCAGGGGTGAGTGAGGAGAGTCATAGCCTACACCCACTTCCCCTCTGAAAGAACAATTACTTAGTGAGTTTCTTTGCCACCTCGAATTATCAACAAATCTCTTCTACACGCTTTACGAATACTACTTGGAAATGCATAGAAAAATGTCTTTTCTAATGTTAAACTGTCAACAGTTGTTTTTTCAAGAAATGAATCGAATCTGTTGGAAGAGCATTAAGAGGAGTGCAGTTGGAGTAAACAAATAATTTTTTAAAATTTAGAATACGTACTATTTTTCTGGAAAATTTACATAAAGCAGAAATCTATGTGAATTGGCACATAAAGCAATGCAGATGGATTTTTTGTCTCATCCTCTCTCATTCCCAACAGAGTCCCTGTTTTCTGTGGAGGGTCCCCTGGAACCTGTCGTGGTCTCCCTGGGGGAAGACGCCTCTCTCCCCTGCCAGCTGCTGCCTGAGCAGAGTGCCGCCCACATGCACATCCGGTGGTACCGAGGCCAGCTCTCCCCGGCGGTGCTGGTGTTCCAGGATGGACAGGAGCACAGTGATGAGCAGATGCTGGAGTACCGCGGCAGGACCCAGTTGGTGGCCAATGCCATCAACAAGGGGAGTGTGACGCTGCTGATACAGCATGTCAGGGCCTCTGATGCTGGCCAGTACTGGTGTCATTTTAGAGATGGGGACGTCTTCCAAGAGGCCATCGTGGAGCTGAATGTCATAGGTATGTGTACTCTGCAGAGTGGAAGTCATGGGAAGCCAAGAAATAGGAGAGGATCCTGATTCCTTCCTCCACCCATGCAGGCCATCTTGGATATGTTAGCACACCATTTTGACCTGCTAAATATCAGTCTTCTAACTTGAACAGAAGGATAAGACAGCACATTTAGTTCATTTGAAAATACCTAAAGTTGAAAATTTCTAAAGATGTTTGACCTACAAAAGTTCTAAAGACCTTCTGAGGAATAGTTATTCAGCCTAATACATTGTTTTGGTATGATCGGGAGAGAAAAATAATGAACAGAATTAAACCTTTTCTAGGTTTAATTGCTTCTGCTATTTCCCTTCCTGGAATGACACCATAGAATGGCTCTCTTTGTCTAATCACATGGCAAAGGCATCACGTTGATTTCAAAACTGCCCCATAGCAGCCTAATTCCTCACCTCTGAATGTGCATTTCCTCAGACCAGCTTTGAGCCTCAGAGACCATGAGTTAGGCGAACCTCTGGCCTTTGTTTTCTGCCCTCAGGTTTGGGCTCTATCCCTCGTGTTCACATGACGGGGCCTGAGGAAGGGGGCATCCGAGTGCTCTGCTCGTCTGGTGGCTGGTTCCCCAAACCAACAGTGCAATGGAGAGACAAGGCTGGAGGGAAGCTCTCATCACTTCCTGAGTCTCAAACGCAAGACAGTGATGGGCTCTTCTCTGTGGAGTCATCTATCATAGTCAAGGACAGCTCCCTGGGCAATGTGACCTGTGCCATTCAGAATTCCCTCTCTGGCCAGGAGAGAGCGTCAGCCATCTTCCTCCCAGGTGAGCCCAAGCCTCAGGTGGGTGGAGTAAGGGCAGGGATCCAGAGAAGTGCTGGGGGAACACTGGGGCTACAACAGCCCCCTTCAGGTTGGTGCTGACGGTGCCTCCTACCACCCCCGTGTAGAGCCCTTCTTCCCCAGGATGTCTCCGTGGAAAGTAGCGCTAGCCTGGACCTTCCCAGTGCTGAGTCTCCTCCTTATTGGGATCAGCTACATTGGCTGGAGAGAACACCAAGCCAAGGAGCTGGAAATAAAGAAGACAAAAGTTGAATCTGAGGAGAGAGATCAAGCGAAGAAGGAAAAGGAAGAGGCGTGTAAGGCCAGAGGTAAATGTGGAGGGGAGCCGGGTGAATTAGAGGTTCAGGCAAAAGCTGGATTAGATAAGAATATCAGAGATTCTCAAAGACTTCACAGGATTGTGTGTGTCAGGCACACCTTCATTTCTGGCAGTCTTGTCTGAGGAGAAAATCATGTGGGAAGCTGGGTTAAATGCCTTGGTCAGGAGGTCTCTAATGTGTGACTCACCACACCGTCCTCCCTCCCACCTGTCTGTCCCAGTCTGTGCTGTGCTTCGTCCCAAAGTGAATGTTTTCCTCAGAACGCTTTTCCTAGTCATACTTCAAGAAATATCTTTTGATAAATCTAATTAATTCTCTTGGAAGCATTGAATGCTCTGGCAAGCACATCCTGGTTTTCTTAGTTGGACATGAATGATTATCCCAGTTTATCACTGAAAGTTAGGTATCCTCTTGAGAAGGCCAAATCTAATCACATTAGCTACTCACCTACTCAGTGACAGTAAATCCCTGGTGACGGAATTCTATCTCTTTGTCTTACAGAAGACCTCCAGGAAGAGCTCAGTGAGTCTTGCTTCCTCTCATGCCCTCAAGTTTGTTTCCCTTTTTCCTGTTCTGGGCTTCTCATGGGATGTTGTTTCTTGCAGAGAAGCGAAAAGACCTGTACAAAGAAGGTAAGAAACTTGGCCTTTCCCTTACCTTGATGTCTCAATGCCCAGTACTTTCTTAGCTCCTCCTCTTGGAGGAAAAGATGGAAAATGAAAAAAATGTTGAAAAATAAGATGAAAGTAAAGGACTGTAAATCAGAGATGAATACCGAATCTTTTCTTACCTGAAATTGTTCTGTTTCAGATTGGAAGAAGGCCCTGCTGTATCCTGGTAAATGATGCTCCTAAATCTTGTCTGGTATCTTCAGTGTTATGAGCTTAATGAGCAGACAGTAAATGCAGACACACATTCACATACACACACACAGCTATAAACTTGCAAGTTGTTGAAAATTATTTGGTATCAATGTGTGATAATTTGTATTTGGTAATTCAAATAATCAATGCTTGTTCAGAACTAAAAGAAGTAGAAAATACTGTTTAAAATATTTATTTATTTATTTGTAAGGCAGAGTTACAGAGAAAGGAGGATGCTGTTTCAATCCCAAAATAGTATCAATGACCATACTTGGGCCACGCAGAATCCCTGAGCCAAAAGCGTCTTCCAGATCTGCCATGTAGTTGCAGGGGTGTAAGAACTTGTTCGCTCTTTTCCCAGGTGCATTAACAGGGAGCCATATAAAAAATGGGACAGCTGGGACCTGAAACATCACTCATATGGGATGCCAGCTCTGCAAACTGTGGTTTAACTCAGTGCATCTCAGCATGGGCTCCAGGGACTTCATATGAATAAATGACCTAAGTCACTTTGCAGAAGGAAGATATGGGCATTTCAGAGTGATCTTAATGAGATTTTGGAAGAGTAATGAATGTCCTGTTGTATCAGTATTTATACACAGCAAATAAATACTCAGGTTTAAAAAAGAATAGATAATATGGGGATTGGTTTTTTGGTGCACTGTGTTATGCTGTAGTCAGCGACACCAGCATTATATCTGAGAGTGAGTTTTAGCTCTAGCCACTCCACTTCTGATACAACTCCCTGTCAATTTGCCTGGAGGAGGCAGCAGAAGATGCTCTAGTTAGTGGAACCTCTGTCACCTTTGTGGGAGACTTGAATGATGTTCCAGGCTTCTGGCTTTGGCTCCAGTGGTTGCAACCAAGTGGATTATAAACCAGCAGATGGAATAATTCTCAGTGTGTCTCTGTCTCTCTTTGTAACTTTGCCTTTCACATAAACATATTCATTAAAAATAAATCAAAAATAGATAGGTTAAATGTTTTATACTTGGAAACATATATGTTGAATATATTTTTAGCTATCCAAGGCATACCAAGTCAGTTTCCATATACAGGGACATGGGGCTAAAAGGTTTGGAACTCTTCCAGTCATGACCTGCTTAACTTCATAAGCAAAGACAGAGAGCAGAATGCACCCCACCTGTCCTGTAGCTTCTGGATCTACCAGAGGTCGAGAGGCTTGGTGAGGAAGTGAGAAAAATTGAGAAAATTGAGACGTGGTCATTCAGTGTAGGAAACATTTCTTCACTTTTTCACCCCTGGGTGCATATCCTTTAATTTGTGTTGGTCTTTTTCAGACTGGAGGAAGGAACTGTTTACGCCTGGTGAGTGACTTCTATTAATCTCTTTGGCCCCCTTCTAATGTACCTCTCATTCCTCCTTTTCCTTTCCAAACACCATGTTCTAGTGGAAAGGACAAGGCATCAGTAGTGCAGAAAGGGAAGAACTTGGACATCACCAATAGGAATCTGTTTTATTAAGTGATTTTTTTCTACTCTTACATATTGACCCATTCTTCCTGTCCATGGTGTCCACTTGGTTTTGAAAATGGAAACTAATTTTGAAAAAATCCCTAAGTATTCCTGAAAAAGTAAGGAATTATCAGGTACTCTCTTTAGCAATTAGTTCAAATGAGAGAAATTACATATTTATGAACATGTAAAGCCTTTATTTTTTAAATGTATTTTATTATTTTATGATGTAGTTTCAAAGCCCCTGGTATTTTCTTTCACCTTTCCCTGCCCATACTGAATTCCCCTATTTCATTGCAACAGTATAGTCCTTCATAATCAGTCATAGGTCCACCAATCTGCTATTTAAGTATATCCTGCTTTGTAGGTATTGAAAGTGAGAGAGTCCGGCATCCTATTTTAAAGATATATTTAACATTATCATTGGGAGTCCTTCTTTGGTTTGAAAGTAGAGATGCATACTGCATTGTATCTTCACATCTGGTTGTGATAGTCTCTGTTACACAGTTACTATACATCCCCTTAAATGAAAAGCCATAAAACAAAACCAGTAACAGGAAGAAAAATTAGAAATTAGCAATAACATGAAGTTAAATAACATCCATTCTATGTATTCTATCATTGTTCTAGTTTATAAAGGATGTGGAAAGAACAGTATTCTTAAGTTAATATTGATAATTCTGGCTCACTGTGGCACTCTACTATGAAGCTAATAGTAGCATGGATGAAATTGAGTAAGACTCTCATTGTAAGTAAGTCAAGTAAGAAGAAATTATGCAAGACACACATGCAATCCCAGTGTGTGTTTGTGTGTGTGCGTGCGCACATGCTTAGGGGAAAGGTGTTGTCATACCCCAACTCCCCGTTTTCCCTGCTTCTTTAAAGTTTTATCTGTGTAGAAAGTTTGTGAAATATACAATGGTGGTTCTCTCTTTCTTCTTCCAGCTTCTGTGACTATACATCATGAAACGCCTAACAAGAGTAATTCTGGTGCAGAAGGAAAGGAGAAGCACAAAGACAAGTCACAGAATCCATCTGCCAGTGACCAGCCAGGAGATGACAACCTCATTACGGTGGATAAGAAATGTTTCACAAAGGGGAGATACTATTGGGAGGTGGACCTTGGGGGTATTGATCAGTGGACACTAGGCATATTTGATGATTGTACAATTGGAAATCCACCCATCAGAGAAACATCAAAGAAAAAATTCAGAGTCTTAGAGAAGCAGGGAGCTAGATACCGGGTTCTTTGCTATACTCCCCAAGACACTTTTCTGGACGAGACTCTTAAAATAGAAAATAGTCCACAAAAGATTGTGATTTTCTTAGATTATGAAGACAATGATGTTTCTTTTTATGATATAAATAGCGGTGACCATATCTATTCCTTCACCAAATCTAGCTTCTCTGGACAAGTCTATCCTTACTTCTCCCTTTCTGCACAATCCTCCAAGTGACTTACAGGAAGTACTCTGACCCCAGGTGCTCAGGACTCCATTCATGATGCGTGGCCTCAGCCACCATGAGTGTGCGTGTCACAGAGCAACTCCATTTCACGAGGACTCATGACCTGGGATTACCATGTAAAAAGTGGTGCTTCTCAAGCAGAGAAGCATCAGGGCCCTTGGTTTTTCATTATTGTAAATGTTAATTCTCATTATTTTATTTTCAATATGTCCCATACTTTAATTTTCTAGAATGAATGACTGCAAAACTGGCATGAGTGAAAACAAAGGTTTGTGATTATAAAGAAGTGGCAATTATGTTAGTATCAGATTCAACATAAGCAAATTGTCAGCTGGCTCTGTCATTTTTTTTCTAACGTTCTCTCTTTGCTTGTTTAATAAAGAATTGGTGAAAAAAGAACAAATTGTGTACAGGCGTATTCTTTGGACTACTCACTGACTAACATTGTTAAGGCGATATTTAAGGAAATAGAAATTAAAAGAATCATATTGTTAAAGAACAAACCAGCAACAATGAGTAAAACCACACAACTGTTACTTGCAAATGTGCAAGAGAAAAAATAAACTTTAGTTTGATAATCAGGCCAAATTAGGTCTTCAGTGTAGAGATAACTTTAGGAAAGAAAAAAACGTCAGTTATCATCTAGTTCCAAGAAATTTGATGATGCTAGCGTGATGTAGATCCAGGAGACTGTGAAGAAATTAGCACATGCTAAAGGAGGAAGAAGCAATCTATTGCTTTGCTTAAGATATTGATAAAGGAAATAAAGACCTTATATTATTGGGAATTCTAAGTAGGAAAGATTTATTTTCCTCCCCTTTACCATGCAATTACAGGAAGCAGCATCCAGTGCTCAGTTAGGGATTGCAATAGTTATATTCCTGTCCAAAGGACTGGAAAGTTTCGTAAATTCATTGCCCTTTGTGTATTCAGACATTGGAATACGAGATATTCAATATTCTTCTGCTAGAAATAAGAAATAATTAGGGTCAGACTCAAAACAGACTCACTCATGATGATTAAATATTAAAAGCAAGACCGAAAGTAGTAAGTTACTAATTTCAGAACAAAGCTCGTGAGTTGAAACTAAAATGTCTGAAATTTAGTCAGTAAAGACCAAGCATGAAAAGAAATAGTAAAATACAACTAACAATGAATAAAAATCAATAGATTAAAATTGACAGAGAACTGTTACGGCTGTTAGAATTAATTTGAATTATTAGAGATTTAAATGTATAAGGAAGACTCACATTGAGTTTCTAGAAACGAAAACTTTAAACATGTGAAATGAAAGTTACACTGGGCCAATCTGAGGACACAGGGATAAACTTAGGTGCTTTTCCTATTCTCTCAGTCAGATGATGTACAAAGAAATCTCCTGACATCACGTGCGGGAGAGAAGTGGATTCCTCACATAGCAGCAAGTAATCAGTTCTGCAAGAAATACCAGCTGGATGTCTTAATTCAATTGGTTTCTGGCACTCCATCTGGAAGGAGGCAAAGGTTGAGAGGTCAGTCCCACAAGCCTGCTCCCTATTTCAGATGACACTGGAAAGCATAGCTTGTCATATCTGCATTTCTGACTGAGCAACTATAAATCAACATTTCCATAAACTTCTTATTGGACCCAACTGTTTTGCTAGAAAAATCACAGACATCAGATAAACTTTCACGTTTGCTGCATTAGTGGCCAGGACATTATGATGCACAATTTAACATATTGTGAGTGTGATATGGAACATCTGTGTCCTCTACACTCTTTGTGCCCCTTCCAACAGGTCCAGCTATATGGAATCCCTTTAACACAGTCCGTTTATGAAATCTACATTTCACACACACAGTTGATCAACTCCTTGGCCATGGTAATCACCTCATCTTCAGTCCTTCCTCACGGAAGGTTGGAGTCTGGGACTGATAGCCTTAATCTTGTAGTCCTGCCTTGCTCTCTGTGGTAACCAGCCTCCACCCTACTCCAAATCTATAGGGAGCAGTCATCATTTAACTCATTAGCTTACAAAAATACAACTTAAGTTAGGAATTTCTAAGAATTTTATTTCTGTTATTTAAAAATTTTACTCTTTTTATTATTTTATGATGCAATTGCATAGACTCTCTGATTTCCCTTCCCCTTTCCCAAATCCCTTCAACTCTACTAATAGTATAGTCCTTCCTAATCTGTCATAAGTCCACCATTCTTCTATTTGAGTGTATCCTGATTGTAGGTACAGACAATGGAGGCAGTCAAGCATCCAATTGTCAAGATACATTTAATAGCTTCATTGGGAGTCCGTCTTTGATTTGGAAGTAGAGATGTGCACTGCATTGTATCTTCAAATCTGGATATGATAGTCTCTATTACACAGTTACTATTCATCCCCTTAAATGAAAAGCCATAAAATAAAATCAATAACAGAGAAAAAAATATAAAATTTACAACAACCTAAGTTACAATAACATAAATGTGTCACTGAAGAAATGAAAAAGAAAATAAAAAAACCTTCTTGAGGCAAACAATGTTATCGTGTGACCTTGAGTCAGTGAGGAAATTAATAAGAAAAATCTTTTGGAGAAATGAAAATGAAAATAAAAATATCAATATCCATAAATGTTACAAAAACATATTGAAAAGGCTATTCATCTTGTATTTTGCATAAAAGTTGCCTTATATTAGAGAGAACGTATGATATTTGTCTTTTGGGAGTGACTTATTTCGCTGAGTATAATGGTGTCTAGATGGGAACCGGGGTGAAAGGGACAGTGTGCTTGCTCCATCCTCTGCACAGCCTTTTGTGAGTCTGTGCTTCTTAAGGTCCTATCGCTTCTTCACTGCAGTTTTCGCCTCCTCTCCTGGAGAGGCATCCTTCCTTTGTTGTCCTGATTCTTCTCTATGGCAGAAGTGAGTGTAGGGACTATTGACTCTCCATTCTGTCATTTTGAATCTCACAAATTCATCTAATAATTCCATGAAGTTTTTGACATTCACTTAAATAAGTGTATCAATAAATTCCAACTTCTTGTAAGATGTTATTATGTGAAATCATTATGTGACTGGTGACTTTCATACTAATCTGTGCTCTAAACATGTGACTTGTTTGAACAAAAATAAAGGCTCTATTTCGCTAACTTGGGTCTTGGTGTGACACTGTAGAAGTCTTTTTTTTTATAAAGATTTATTTTTATTATTTTTTCATTGGAAAGGCGGATATACAGAGAGGAGAGACAGAGAGGAAGATCTTCCGTCCGACGATTCACTCCCCAAGTGAGCGCAACGGGCCGATACTATGCCGATCCGAAGCCAGGAGCCTCCCTCGGGTCTCCCACGCGGGTGCAGGGTCCCAAAGCTCTGGGCCGTCCTCGACTGCTTTCCCAGGCCACAGGCAGGGAGCTAGAAGGGAAGCGGAGCTGCCGGGATTAGAACCGGCGCCCATATGGGATCCCGGGCGTGCAAGGCGAGGACCTTTAACCACTTGCGCCACCGCGCCGGGCCCTGTAGAAGTCTTAAAGCTGAAAAGAGTAAGCCAGTAAAACAAAATAAAAGCAAAATTACTGACAGAGCAATTGACATGCTGTTCCAAAGTCTACTAAATGTTGTGACCAGAGTAGCAAATTAAGAAAATGGTAACATTATACATCAATCAAATTATTGAGTAGGGTTATCTTTAGGATTTTTTTAGGCTGAACAGGTGAGGAAATCAGATATCAGAGGCATATTTCTACCTCTTATATCATCATGGAGTCAAAGGGACAATAAATCTTTAATTTAGTTGGACAATCTTAAATGATCATAAGTATAAAAGGAGAGTTAGAGAACTAAAAGTGCGTGAGGGTTGAAGGAAAATCTCACTGGAAGATGATGGAAGACATGGAGGAAGTCACGTGAGTATCTAGAGGAGGAGTGTTGAAGTCAGAAGAAAAACTAAGTACAGAGCACATGGAGCATTCATAGAACAACAAGGAAACTGACTGGTTATAGCAGGTAATCAAGTTGGGAATGTTAGCCATGGAATCTCAGAATTTCCATTGAAGAGCCTCATTCTGGTGTAGGAATTAGAAAGATGTAGAGAAATCCATGAAAAAAAATCCATATTCAGCCTGCTGGAAGAGTTCATGGAGTCAGTCAGTCTGAGCAGGAGGAAGGTCACAACTGAAGCTGAACTTCTAAAGAGTTTATTGCAGCAAGGTGACTAGATCTGAGAATAAAGATTTAAAGCAACAGAAGAGGAATCCAGAGGCATTGCTTACTCTGTCACACACATGGCTCAGTTTTATTGAATTCTATGAATTATCGTGAAAACACCTAACTAGACAGTCTTGCCAAAGCTAATTTGTATGAAGAGTGAGAAAGAAAAATGAAGCCTGGTTGGTCAGACATGAATCAGTCTTTGTGTGTACCTGTGATTATTTGTGCAGGTCTCCAAGTGCAAACGTGCAGCAAAGGCACCATTTTATGATCCAGGTTCAAGGTCCAAACTCTCCTTAACTTCCTTTAGATTAATTCCAAGCTCCATTCAGTTGCAGATCCTGGGATCAAGAAAGCTGCTTGAAATGGCTGACACCTCTCTCTGAATTTGCGATATTGCCTGGGGAAGTGCAATTTTTCCTCTCTGTGCTTTCACAGTGAGTGCAGAGACATTTCAGACTACTGCCAAAGCAGATCAGAAGAGATCTAAGAATTTCATGTGGGTGAGGAGTGACAGACATTAAAGAAAATTCTTTGTTGAAATGGCAACTCACTCAATGGAGGACACTATGAAGTCACTTATGAAGCATGAGGCACATGAAGGTGAGTTTTACTTTGTTAATTCTGTCATTGTTGGCACACATGGACACAGGTGTACACATACACACATGTATGTGTTGTTATTACTTCTAAGAAAAATATATTAGTCACAAGGTACAGGTTTAAGTCAGTGTGTTACTTTCGTATCTGACGAGACGTCTTGTTTATAAATTAGCTTTCCTTTAAGGATTTCTCAACTTACTAACCTTGTATCTGCTACATATTATTTTCTCTTACATCTCCTTCTCCTTCCTCATATCTGTTGTTTGATGAAATTACGAATGACTATTGAACAATCACAGCTGTCCGAAAATAGAGTATGTCCTTCTGTAATGCAGCATAAGTTGCCTAACATGGAAATGCACAAGCAGGAAACCACATGGTTATTTATTAGATGTTATAAAACAAACATCTGACAGAAGTTAAAATCAAGCTGCTCTCTAGTTAAAAGGGCATTAAAAGCTAATCAATGTTCTTTTTTGGTTGTTTCACAGCTACTGAAATGTAAAGTGATAGGTTTCCCTTGTTTTCTATTATATAAAACTGTAAGGTTTTTGTAATTTTTCTTGAATCAGTTTGAAATTTAAAACTCTCCAAA